GAGGATGGGGGGGAGGGAGAGGGGGGAGCAAAAAAAAAAAAGCATTGAGATAAGAAAAGAGGGGGGGGGGGGTGAATGAGATAATGTCCCGGCGTTACTACATCAGAGTCCAGCCGCTGCCGTGGGAAACAGCCTCGGCCTATCTTTACCTCTGAACAGAAAAAGAGTTGAAAGAAAAGAAGAAGAAGGAAGGAGGAAGTCATAGCTCTCGTCTCTTCCTGTGATTAACATGAAGATGGATGAAGGAGAAGGAGGAGGAGGAGGAGAAGGAGAAGGAAGAGGAGAAGGAGAAGGAGAAGAAGGAGAAGGAGAAGGAGAAGGAGAAGAAGGAGAAGGAGAAGGAGGAGGAGAAGGAGAAGGAGAAGAAGGAGGAGGAGAAGGAGGAGGAGAAGTAGAAGAAGGAGAAGGAGAAGGAGGAGGAGAAGGAGGAGGAGGAGGAGAAGGAGGAGGAGAAGAAGGAGAAGGAGAAGGAGAAGGAGGAGGAGGAGATGAAGGAGAAGGAGGAGAAGAAGAAGGAGGAGAAGAAGAAGGAGGAGGAGGAGAGGAAGGAGGAGGAGAAGTAGAAGAAGGAGAAGGAGAAGGAGGAGGAGAAGGAGGAGGAGGAGGAGAAGGAGGAGAAGGAGGAGAAGGAGAAGAAGGAGGAGGAGGAGGAGATGAAGGAGAAGGAGGAGAAGAAGAAGGAGGAGAAGAAGAAGGAGGAGGAGGAGAGGAAGGAGGAGGAGAAGTAGAAGAAGGAGAAGGAGAAGGAGGAGGAGAAGGAGGAGGAGGAGGAGAAGGAGGAGAAGGAGGAGAAGGAGGAGAAGAAGGAGGAGAAGAAGAAGGAGGAGGAGGAGAGGAAGGAGAAGGAGGAAGTCATAGCTCTCGTTTCTTCCTGTGATTAACATGAAGATGGATGGAGGGATGGAGGAAGTCGACTATAGGCAGAAGAAGAAAGGAGAAGAAGAAGAGCTGGTGGAGGAGGAAGTCACAGCTCTCATCTCTCCTCCTGTGATTACGACGCAGACGGATGGAGGGAAGGAGGAAGTCAATTGGCTCCCGTGAAGAAGACGTCGAGTGTTTTAAAGTAGAGAAAGGAGCTCTTTTGTGCGGGCGTCTTTTCTTCTGAGTGTAACGCCGCTGTACCTGACGGCGGTTTGTGCCCCCGGTTAAAGGCAGAAATCTCTGCCTCCATTGTCACCTGCTCCTCTAATCATTTTCCTCCTTCATGCCACAATGGAGGAGGGCGATAACGATAACGAGGTGAAGCTAATACAGAGCAGAGTCTGGGCCCCCCGAACACAATGTTCACATGTCTCCACACACACACACACACACACACACCTTTACACACTCTTTAATGCAGAATCGTATGCACACACACACACTCTCAGTCTTTTTTCTTCAGGCACTCACGCGCGAACGTTTGAGCCATTTCATTTTTCAGGGCGCTCTTGTTACTTTCACAGTTTCATCGTAAAACATCACAGAAGAATGAGAGTGTGTCGTGTTTTCTTCTCTGCTTTGTCAGAAATAGTCGCTTAGCGGTTAATAACCGGCTGCTGGTTTGAATCCGACTGTCTGAATGAATTGGGTCTGCTATAATTTGCATTGTTTATGACAACACTGTAGTCAAGGTGACATCAACAATGCTGAAAGAAGTAAAGCCTCTAAGAGGACGTGGACAGAAAATAATAAAAAATAAAGTGATAATATGAACCTAATAAAGTCTTATTAATGTTAATAAACATCTTATGAATGTTGATAAGTGGTCTATAAACAAGTTTCTTTGTGTTAATTAATATCTTACAAGCCAATTATAAATTAATTTATAGTTTAATTAACACTCATGAGGTTTTATTCATGTTAATAAACATCTTATTAAAGTTTATGACGGTATATAAAGTGTTAATAAGTTTCTAATAAGAGCCTATAAATGTCTTACAAGACATAATAAATATGTTAATTATGCCTATAGTAACACTTATATAGTCTTATTTGTGTTAATAAGAATCTAATAAGGTCTTACAAGTGGCTTATTACCTGTTATTAATACTTACTACAAGCACCTTAATATAAAGTGTTACCAAATAAAGTTTTAGGTGCACATGGATAAAATGTTTTGAGTGCTGCAGGAACCACCCGGTTCGCAAAAGAACATTTTCCATGAGCACCAGAAAGTTTCTTGCAATCACTAGAAAGTGTTGAGTGTGCAGCACAGAGTTTCTTCCTTTCTGTCTCATGGATGATCTTAACGTTTTGTAAACTGTCTCTGTGAGCCGGAGAGATCTGAAGAGTTTAAAGTGTGCAGATATAATTTCTCAAAAACGTTACTGTGCACAGGAAACTTTGTCTTGAGCAGATCCCTGTTTCTTGTTTTTCTTTTAATAAACTGATAAAAACTAATAAAACTTTTTTAATTTTGAGGTTGAATTTGTTACTTATCAAAAATTACGTCGGACGTCGAATAAGTGAAGCCAAAAGCAGACTATGTCCTCTGCTGGTTAGTGAAGTTTTGCAATATGTATTTTTGTCCAATCGATTTAAATTGTCCACATTTGTATCGATATTTAATCACACTACGAGGAGTGTGCGTAGGCTGTAGTCCTCCAAGCGAGCTGAACCAGGAGACCTGTAGCTCCTTTCCCCTCATGTCACTCTCTCTCCCTGATTCCACACTCTCCCCACTGTCCTCTAAATAAAGACAAAAGACAAACAACGCTGAAAACTCTGCTTTGCTTTCCATGTAAAAAACTACATAGAACCTTAAAATTATAACGCAATAGTTTGAGGTTAAAAGAGGTCGAGCTCAGACGTAAAAGGTGATTATTAATTTGCCAGCGAATAAGGAGATTCAGCGGACACAAGAAAGGCTGAATTACTTCTTCTTTTTATTCAAATATATTCTCAAACAAACATCGCGTTTCGCCCGCATGGCTTCATCAGGTCTGTCCAGATGATGCTTCCTGCCTCGCACCACCTTTGTGTGACTTTATTCACTTGTTAACTCGACTTTCCTCGAGCCAAACTACAAATAAAAGCAACAAATTATGACTTAATATCATATTTTTGTCATTGTAATGTGAATGTAAAGGAATGGTTAAAAAGTGCTCCGATGGCAGTCAGCATTCCTTGCAGTTTGTGAACTGGACTTTTCTGTGCAGAATTGACTGGGTTTTTTTTTCTTGTGAGAACAAGACAGAGAAGAAAATTATTGCACAGACACCTTCAGATTTCGCCGTCCTGCCATGAAGCAGAATAAACCTCTGAGCTCTCTGAGCGTGATAAGACACCGGACTTCCCGCTTCCTTTTTTTCCTCCCCGAGACCCTGCACTGACTTTTTTTCCACAAAATAAACATTAAAAAGACAGAAACAAACACACAATCTGCTCTCATCTTTCATAGTTGTGACCTAGACTCTGCAGAAAGTCTCCCCCTCTCCTCCATGTTTCCCTCACCCCTCTCTCACCCTCATCTATGTGATGTTAGGTCTCTGCAGAGCGGGGGGGGGGGGAGAGAGAGAGACGAGGAGGCTGCTGCTCTCTGACGGCGTTTATCAGAGTCTGGCATCACTGTAATTTCAGTGTTCAGATGCAATCGCTCCCTTCTCCCCTCAGGAGTAAACAATAACAAGCACAAGCACAATAGACAAACAAGGCCTGCAGGACATGTATGCACACACACACACACACACACACACACACACACACACTCACAATAATGAATGCAAACCACAAGCAGCTTCTGTCCAGTTTGTATCTTTATTTTTACACTTCTGCAGTGCTTTCATGTGAGAAACCACAACTCCCTCTGCAAAAGAAATCACTGACCTCAGATCAGATATTGAATCAGTATGAAGCTGCTAAGCTAACCACAGCTAAACCCTCTCTCGTGCTGGAGGTGTCACTTTGCTTGAAAACACTCCCTGGCTGCTGCTGTGAAGTTTTAAGTCGGGACTCACAGGCAGGTTGTTGCAAAAAAAAAACGACTGAAACATCTCACATTTCTTATCAAACAGCACCGCCTGGTGGACATTGTTTGAACTGCAAGCCACAAAAATCAGCTGAGAAGAGAGGGAGGCTTTTGTTTTGAAAAGGACAGATTACTTTATGCCTCCTTTTCTGATAAAAAGTGAAAGGTCATCGCCTGCCTCTCTTTCTAGTTCTTTACTGTGTGAAGAAAGTTTTGTTTAAAGGAACTTCAGGGTAAAAGAAGCAGATTTGATTACTTGTTACAGCATCTTTTAGCTGGAGAGAAAAATATTTGTATAAATAAAGACAATTTGAGAACATTTAAGTCACATTTTAGTCACAACATCTGTATTAGAAGAAGGTAGAAACAAACTTATTTTGGAATAAATTTACCAAATCTCTGCTCTTGTTTTGTTTTTCTGCTCTCTCTTGTTAAATTGACGTTATGACAGTTTCCTCCCTTTAACAGTTAATCAGCTTTATATGTGTGAGTTTCTAAAAATTAAAACTAAAGTCAGCCAGAACCTTCCTTCAGGAGATTATTACATCACCCACATCAGAGGAATATTTAGTTTCAGATCTCATTCATGTCTCATCTACGGCTCCTTAACAATAAAGACCAGAAAGGAGATTATTTTTCTATTTGCTCACTTAGATACAAACATGACTCTTATATCTAACAGTTGTCTCTTTTCAAGATCATAGCTCAAAGAGAGCGCTGATAGCTTAGCGGTTATGTTGCGCGCCGCATGTACAGAGGTTATATAGTCCTTGACACAACAGCTGTGGGTTCAAATCTGACCTCAGCCTTTCGTTTCATGTCATCCCCCACTCTCTCTACTCCCTTCATTTCCTGTCTGTCTTCAGCTGTTCTATCCACCAAAGGCAAAAAGGCCCAGAAAGTAACTTTAAAGAAAAAGAAATATGAAACTGGTTGCATGAACTGGTTTCGTTTATCCACACAAACTAAGAATTTAAAATGTGAACATAGGGAAGAATCTTTTTGGTTTATTTTTGGGTAAAAAATACGAGTAAAGCATCAGAATTCCTCGTTCTCATTTAAAAGTATTTATTGTGAGGAGACACAGATACATGGACAGTTGAGAGGATGAGGAATCAGTAAGAGGTTTATTTTCTCCTTTATATATTTTACAAATAGAAGCACAAATGTTCATCGACTCTCCACCACACGGGTCTGAAGTACTTTGAAGAGCAGGAGGCAAATGCATACGATGAGTTCAGCCGTTTATCTGCAGAGAGAAGACACAAAGAGAGGTCAGAAAATGAACAGTAACAAGCTGCACATAGACACCTGAATAGAGAAATCTAGACTATAACTGCAGAAAAACGACACTTTATTCTAAAGTCTACCCAGAAGAGCTCCTAACATGACACTCTGCTCTACTGTGTTACCTCCTCTGTTCAAACAAGCTTCAGGTCCTGAGTCGAGCAGAAAGTGAGGATGAGGTCAGAATTAGACATGAGAGGATGTGACAGCTTTTAGAAGACTTAACAAAAAGACATGCATGGTTGAGAGGGGGGGGGGGAGAGAGATAATGAGCAGGGTGAGTAAGAGAGGAAAAGTGCTGGGAGGGAGAGACTTACAGAGCAGCAGCTCCAGAGATGATCTCAATGAGCTCCTTGGTGATGACGGCCTGTCTGGTACGGTTGAAAGTGAGGGTCAGCTTGTCAATCATCTCAGCTGGAAAGGAGAAAGCCGTCAAGTCAGTGTCACATTTTAAAACGTTAAAGACTTAAGGAAGGAAAATCCAAGACAGCAGAGAAAATACTGAATCCCAACATGTCAGGACGTAAATACAGAATCTAAATAACCTCTTCTTTACTACAGGATGCTTTTTCCTCCCCAAGGATAGTTGCCTTTCTGACCATTGTTTCATCAAATGCTCAAACTTCTCAATCAGGACGTTTTGCTGTTTATGAATCATCGTTAATTGAAAAAAGAAAAAAAAATTTGGAGTGTTCTGACAAAAATGGCTACCTGAAGAAATCAAGAAAATAAATCATGTTCTGCAAAATTGAGTTGGATTCCCCTCGTCTCCGGCTGAAATATGTTGGTTTTAAAACTACCGCCTCATGTCTACTTGATCACTGAGGTTGTGAGATATTTGAGTTCGGGAAGTCTTACAGGCGTTCTTGCTGGCGCTGTCCATGGCGGTCATCCTGGCGCTCTGCTCGCTGGTGGAGGACTCCCTCATAGCGAGGTAGATGATGTTGACCATGGCGAACTCCTGGTAGTTCCTCAGCACGTCAGCGTCGATGTCATCATACACGCCCATGCTCTCTGTTAAGAGAAGGAGTAACACATGATGAGAATCTCTGCGGATGAGACAGCCGAGTGTCCGAGTGAAATGTTTAAAAAAAAAACATAAAAACGGTACCTGCGTTAGCGACGGTGTCATTGGAGAACAGAGGCTTCTGCTCCGCCTTGTATGAGATCACAGACCTGCAGCGGAGAAACACAACAATATTTAAATCGTGTGCCTTTTCCTGCTTCTGCAACTTGACTTTTATTTATTTTTTTATAAACACAAATCCAATTAAAGGCTGAAGCGTCGTACCTGAATCTGTTGTAGAAAACGGCTCCCTGGTCGAACTCGTACCCAGAGTTCAGCAGCTCGGTGGCGACGATGGAGGCGTCGCCGAAGCTGGGAGGCTTACGGCCCATCTCCTTACAGTTCAGCAGCATGTGGCTCCCATGAGTTCTGAGGAGAAACGACCAACATCATGTGTGACGAGGCTTCATAGAGGTCGTCACCTGACGGTCTGAGCTCGGCTTCAGTCTAACGAGCGTCGTCAACATTTGCGATACTTCTGTTTACCTTCAATTTTAAATGATACAGTTGCAAGAAAAAGTATGTGAACGCTTTGGAATTTCCTAGTTTTCTGCATAAATTGGCCATAAAATGAAATTCCAAAAGGGTTCACATACTTTTTCCTGCATCTGTAGTTTGTCATTTTAATGATCAGTAGTATTGAAAAGGACCAAAGCTTTTAAAAAAAAAACTTCTGATCTTGAGTCAAAATTTAAACCAAAAGCTGCCACGAGCGAGAGAGAGAGAGAGCGAGAGAGAGAGAGAGAAAGATTCTCTGTTTCCTGTCGTACCTGTGCAGAATGCCTCTCAGCTTGTCCCCCACGTTGACCACCATGACCTCCTTGCCGGCACCGGTCAGGATGGCGATCTCGTTCTTGATGGCCTTGGCGATACCGGAGTGGATGGCGCCGCAGAGACCACGGTCGGAGGTCACGCCGATGATCAAGTGCTTGCCGCCTTTGTCCTCCGGGGCTTTGATTTCGGCCTTCTCGTACAGTGCTGGATCGGAGAGAAGACACAGAGGATTCTTAACCGAAGTTTAAAAACACGAACAGGAAGAGGAACGAAACGAGAGGTTTGAACTTACAGAGAGCGCCGGCGCCGTAGACTCTGGCCGGCTTCAGCTGCCTCTCAGCGCGGGCGTACTTGGCGGCGGCCACCATCTTCATGGATTTGGTGATTTTCTGGATGTTTTTGATGGACTTCAACCGGATGGTGACTGGAGAAATAAAAGACGCTCAGACTCAAGAGTGGATCAAGAGAAAAAAGTGATGCACGCCTCACAGCTGAGAAGAGGAACAGCTGTGAACTTATTCATGCCCGTCTCAAGCCGATATCACCGTGGAAACGACATCACTTTGACCCCAACATGCCAGACACATGCTTCAAACATACATGTCACTGCTCATGGGCATGTCAAGTAGCTCAAAGCTTCTGGGAGGAGGTTCTTTTACAAGCTGCTTTTAATGTTATCCAGTCTCGTTTCTATGACCTTAAATTGGTTTTAAACACAGATAAAAACCAAGCTCATGGTTTTCCCCTCATACAAAGGCGCCATCACAGAACATTACAAATATTGTAACATCTAAAGGAAAACCTACAGAGCAGGTTTTAAACTACAAGTACTAGATCAGGAGCTTTCATTTAAAGCTCATATCACTAAACTTCACATGAAGCTTGGGTTCTTTTTTTAGAAATCGAAGCTGCTTCTCTCTCAGGGTCAGAAAGAAACGAGTGACAGCGACCTTCTCGCCCATTCTTGATTATGGGGACGTGCTTTATTTGAGCGCGTCATCCAAATGTCTCAAGTCCTCGGACGCTATTTTTCATTGGGCACTGAGATTTGTCACCGGCTGTAGTCGTCTCACCCACCATTGTGAATTGAAATCCAACTTGCCTTCTTTGAGCACGCAGATACGCACATTGGCTGACCTGATTTATAAAAGGCTCTTCTAGGCTTGATTCCTTTATATTTGCGTGTTTTATTGCGGAGAACAAGCAGTCGCTATGCCTTGCGTTCTTGTTCCATCAGTTCCTCGGGTAAGGACTGAATTAAAACTCCATGAACTTACTCCACTTGGAGCTTTGCGTTCTATCCCGAGGGACAGACGGCGCGAGAACACTGCCTGTGTTTTTAAAAATCTTTAAACTGTTGTGTCACAGCTCCCACACTTCTCTTTTTTTTTAATTGAAAACACCGTGTTGTTAATCTGTGCCGTCACTTCACTGTAACTGTTCTTTTGACAATGTGCTGCTGACCTCTTGGCCAGGTCACCCTCGTGATCCTGATCTCAACGGGGTTCTTTTATCTGGTTAAATAAAAAGGTTAATAACACATCAGATCCAAGAGGGGAAGACGCTTTCACATCAAACTTTGCAGCTGAATCATCATTATTATAAATGAATAATAAATCCAGCGTGTTCTGCATCTTAATTTAGATTAAGCCGCAATGTACAAGATTATCAAACGCTTCTTCATTTGCATTCCTCATTAATAACATGTTGTTTTCTTCTCCAGTGTGTGAGGAGTGCACCAAAGTACTTACTGTCCTTCAAGGTAGCCATGTTCCTGACCTGCCCACTGTGAACACAAACACAGAGAATCAACTTCAAGCTGCACCAAAACATCAACATGCATCACAAGCAACAAGTGGAGCAGTAACAGAAGCTCCTATTTAAACTTTACATGAATTAAAACCTGCAGGAAAGTCACCTCCCTGCTGCTCCTTAGCATCTGTTAGCTTCCTGCTCAGTGTGCAGGGAAAAAAGACTGACAGCTCATTCTAGTCTATCACAATGCAATGACTTTGATGTTAAATTTAAGTTAAGTCCTGTCTGTCATTCATTCATTCATTAAGGATTTATTTTAGTCGTTTTATTGACTTGTAATGTCACACAATGTCAGTGTAGCCACATTAGCTGCAGCGCTGTCATTCATGAGCTGCAGAGGCCTCCACGTTAGCGTGTCCTTCATTCACTGAACTCCGACAGTAACTGAAGATTGTAAAGCCTGTAAAACTTTTATTCTTATCAAACGTCGACGTGAAGTTAGTCAAAGGTGATGTGAAAGCAAAGACTGCGATAAAAGCATTTGAATATCTTTAACTTTACCATTGTGGGGAGAACACCAACGCGCTGGTCCGGGCGAACATGGTTACTCCTATGAAGGTCAGACGCGCAGAAGTGCGCAGGCGCAAGTTAAAGGCAAAATGGAAGGGTTGCTGCCTTCACGGACACCCAGGAAAATCGTACAAATTATATTAAGCGCATAACTTTTTTATTCAGTACAAAAGGACATCAAAGAAAAAGACAAAGAAAGAAAGAAACAAAAACATGCAAAATATAAAGAAAATTAGCAAACTATATAGAAGAAACAAATCAATATACATGGAATACAGTAAGGTGTAATGTGTCAATTAATCTATCTTTATTTGTATCGCTCCAAATAATAACAAATGTTATCTCAAGACACTTTATACAAGAGCAGGTTACTCTTTTGTTATGTTATCTAAATAGACACAACATTAATCAATCACAAGCACATCACTTCTAATATTCAGCAAAGTTACTGTACAAGTAGAAGCGCAATGTGGACAGTAACCATCAGTTAAAACACACAATCATTCAAACATTTCACAAGCAGCATATTCAGATGACAAAATAGCATGACACAAAGGGTAAATCTGAAGCTTTTTTCAACGAGTCCTTTGAACGCAGCTGCAGTTATCGCGAGGTTTGAGCTCTCGCGGAAGTAGCGTCGGTTGTTCACGGTTGTAGGTAGCCGCAAAACGAGCGGATCTTCCTCATTTTTAATCGATAAATAACAATATTAATAACACGCCGGGATGGGGAAAGCGGATTTTCTGTCCCCAAAGGCCATAGCCAACCGGATCAAATCGAAAGGTCTGCAGAAGTTGCGCTGGTATTGTCAGATGTGTCAGAAACAATGTCGCGATGAGGTAAAGAAGCAGCTTCGCGGAGCAGCACGTTTTCTGTTTGTTGTGTTTTATCTGTGTGTTTAAAAACATGTCGTGTCCACAGAACGGGTTCAAATGTCACTGCATGTCGGAGTCTCACCAGAGACAGCTGCTGCTGGCCTCCGAGGACCCCAACAAGTTCATGGACTATTTCTCTGAGTGAGTCTGAAAACCAGCCGTGACGTCACAGAGAGAGAGAGAGAAACATGTTGATGTTTCTTTTTTTAATTTTCTGCTTTTCTTTCTTTCCACCAGTGAGTTTAAGAGTGAGTTCCTGGAGCTGCTCAGGAGACGATTTGGTGAGTGTTTGTAAAACAGCAGCTTTTAAATAAAGTTGTCAGTTTTAAAAAGCACTACCTGCTTTTTAAAACATCACTGTACATATATAAACACAACATCAGAAGGTCAACACTTTTATTTTTTATATTCAGGTCTAATTACAGATTGTTTGTCCTCAACTGTTTATAGGTTCTTGTTTAAATCTCACATATATTTTTATGTACATTTCTTGTATAAATCTATTTTTAATTGCACAGTTTAAGTTTGATTCATCTCAGGGTATTCTTTAAATCTTTTTTTTGGGTTAATATATATGTACAGGAGGAGGGGCGTCAGTTTTGTGGTTAATTTGTAACAAATGTTTCATGTCATGTCTTTATAACCTGCTACTGGATGCTTTGAATTTCCCTCAGGATCAGTAAAGTATCTATCTATCTATCTATCTATCTATCTATCTATCTATCTGTCATGATGTCAGAGTTATACAATTTAATAGGCTGCAAGTTAAAATAAAAGGATATTGATACCTGATTTGGTTACCAAGGCAACAAAAATAGAAGTTGTATGCATCCACTATGGGGAACTTTCTTGTTTTCAATTAGCAAAAAATTGGTACCATAACGTTGCCAACTTTTTTTTTTTGAAATGTAAACAGCGGGTGGATTCATTCCTCTCCTAATTTAAGCGCCTCTCTTAGAAATAGACGTCTTTCTTTAAAGCTTCAGTACTTTTCAATACTGTTGATCAATAAAACATTGGAGGTTGTATCCTTTTAAAATCGGGGTTTTTAAAACAGGATGATGGTATTGAGAATTTTGCCATTTTTTTGTATTTGTGTTTGAATATATATATTTTGTATTCTTTATATTATTATTATTGTTGTATTATTTGTATTCTTTTTTTGTATTTGAATACATATATTTTTTGTATTTGAATTTTGTATTCAAAGAAGTATCATAGTATTGATAATTTTGCCATCCTTTCTTTTCAGTAGCATCACTTTGTTCTTTGCTTTTTCTCCTGCAGGGACGAAGCGCGTTCACAACAACATCATCTACAACGAATACATCAGCGACCGAGAGCACGTCCACATGAACTCGACGCAGTGGGAGACTCTCACCGACTTCACCAAGTGGCTCGGCAGAGAAGGTAAACTGCACATGGTGGATCGTTTATGTTGTCTCTGTTTCTCCATAAGCTCCACCTGCACACCTTCTCTTATAGTGTAAACCAGAACGTCATCTTCTTATAGTAAAAGCTGCTAACCGTTACGCGGTTAGATCGAAGCTACTCAAAAGTTTAAGATGAAGGCTCAAACATCTGCTACCCAAAAAAGAAATCCTAAATATTTATGAAAATACAATTTAAGCTCGAGGTGTAAGACTTGTGCTCGACGCTCCTCCTGTTAGGTTTCTGCAAAGTGGACGAGACCCCCAAAGGCTGGTACATCCAGTACATCGACCGCGACCCCGAGACCATCCGCCACCAAGAGGAGCAGGCGAGGAGGAAGAAGCAGGAGCTGGACGACGAGGAGCGGAGCGCCAAGTTCATCGAGGAGCAGGTCCGCAGAGGCCGCGACAGCAAGGAGACGGAGGTGAGTTGAGACGGACCAAAGCTCTGAAAACAACTTTTGTTTCATCAAAATAATGATCGACAATGACTCAAATCAATGAATTTTACCTCACAGGAAACTCCAGTTTACACAGAGCTGATACGTGAGAGTGAAGAAGAAAAAAGTAAGTAATGACTGTCCTTTAATTATTATTAAAACTGTTTTTACATTTTGTTTAAAAAATGTTTAAGCAGACATAAATCAAACTGATATATTGAAGTAGAATGTCGTAGTTTTTAGGTAAAAGGACAGCCATATTTGATGTTTTTTTATCCTCTTTTTTTTTAAGTTTAAGTCATGAGAACGGTTATTCTGATACATTTGTAGACCAAAAGTTAGTTTGTGTCTGATGCATTTCTCTCCACTTTCCGTTTGCCTGCAGTTGCATTCAACCTCGGAGCTTCTTCATCGACAGCCGGTTCCTCCAAATCGAGGTATGGATGAGCATGTGGTTGGATTCTTCTCTCGCAGGTTTGATTCTATTTAAATTTTGTCTTAAAGGTGATCGTGTCTTCTTTTAGTTCTGTCCTGGGTGCCAGCGCTCTCAAAGCATCCACATCCTCCACCAAGAGGAAAGACCCGTCCTCAGGGTCGGACTCCAGCAGGGCGGAGAAGAAGAAGAAATCTGCCCTGGAGGAAATTAAGGAGGTGCTGACACCCTTTCCTTTTAAAAAAAAAAAAAAAGTATCTTTTATTTATGTCTATCTGTTGTGTACTGAAAAGTGACTCCATTGTGTTTCAGATGGAGGAGAAGAGGAGGATGAAGCAGTCGGTCAGGACAGATTACTGGCTGCGGCCAGACATCGTGGTCAAAGTCGTCACCAAGAGGCTGGGAGAGAAGTACCACAAGAAGAAGGCCGTCGTCATGGTAACAAGGCTTTGCTGTTCACTTTTGTACTCTCTCAGCCAAAAAAAAAAAAAAAAAAGATGTGTCGCTTATAGTCGTGGATCTTGTTTCTGTAGGAGGTGAAAGACCGATACGGAGCCGTGGTAAAAATGGTCGACTCCGGGGACAAACTCAAGCTGGACCAGAATCACGTCGAGACCGTCATACCCGCACCGGGTGAGCCACCTAAACCCTCATAACCATGCGGGGAGAAAAAAAAGTCAATTGAGTAAAGTAGCGCAAGTCTAACTTTTTTTATAGCCTGAGGTTGAGGGTTGTCGTCTTCTTTCCTCTTCCTGCAGGTAAACGCGTTGTGATTCTGAACGGACCACACAGAGACACAGAGGCGGTGCTGGAGGGAATCGACGAGAAGAACTTCAGTGCTTCACTCACACTCGACTCTGTAAGTATCCATAACTTCAGGCTGTTCTCCAGACCTTTAAAAAGTGAACATGCTATTCATTGGCTAGCGGGTACTTCTTGTAAACTTGCTCAAATGCCTTCTGTGAATTCTCGTACATAGTGTATATTGCATGTTTATTTGTTGAATCCAGTACCTTCTGAATGTTGCAGCTGCAGCCATGTTGACAGTTTCTCCCTCTCTGTCTGCAGGGTCAGCAGAAAGGGAAGAGAGTGGACATCGCCTATGAAGATTTCTCAAAATTGGCCTAAAAAAACCAAAACCTGTTTTTGATTTCAGGCAGCCGCTTGGCTGAAGGACTCTACTGTGTCAGAGTTGACTTCCCCCTGTACTCACCTGTACATATTATACATATCCCACAATGCAACACCAGCAAGGTAAAATGAATTGAGAGAGCGGTGTGTTCAACTTGTGTTTTTTTTATTTTGTATCAAGTTGATCTTAAATTTGTAGATGTACATTTTCTCCAAATAAATTGATGCAAAGTGACTTCTGCGGATGTTTTGGAAAAACATAAACAGGAAAGAAACATTTATTATTATTTTAAAAAGAAACTGATTCCAGGAAATGTAGACGCACACACCTCCTTTTTTTTTTCATTTTTTAAGGTAAATGACGGATGGGATTAATCGCAGCAAATAATACTCGAACATCTCTTGGAGCTGCTCAGTGCGTCTGCAGGAAGCTGTTGAGATTGGGGACGATGTAGTCGGTGTAGTGGCCGTCGATGAAGCCCTTCCCGCTGTTGTGAATGAACCAGCAGTAGACATTTGAGCCGTGCTTCTTATCCAACCTGTAGTCCTTCTGCCAGCCCCTGAAACACACACAAACAAGTTAACGGTTTGAATCAAACAGTCAAGCAGAAAGGTCTTTGTACGCGAGGTGAAACGTACCTGGTGACTTGCAGCCTGTTGCCCTTCACATCCATGGTGGCCTCCCTCTTCAGAGGGTCGACTCCTTCATGAAAGTTAAACACGTTTAGCTCCGGCTCTCTGTGAAACTGTCCTGTTGGGAGTATAGCGGACATTTTTAGCAAATATGCAAATTATCAAGCCTCATTGTCGGCCCTGACAGGACACACTATTGACTGTCTACTGCTTCAAATCCAGCGGGTTTTCTCTGGACTTGGAAAATCTGCATTTAGCTTTTTTGCTCTAAAAACGAGAAATAATTTATCACACACTCTTTTTTCTTTTGGATAAATTAAGATAATGATCTCAAACCTCTTTACAGCAGTGTGCGATTGTTACTGAGAATCATCCTGACCTGTCTTGTGTTGTTTCATTTAAATCTTGACGTCATTGTAAATGAGGGAAACCTCAATAAAAGGTTTGATATGATATGACAGTAAATATGTATTTTTTACAGCCACTGCCTAGCCAGCGTTGCAGTACCACTTACAGCCACTAGGGGGCTTAATAACTATTTTAAGTTTTTTACTTGACACAATTTTTTTGTACTTATGACATCAGCAGCTGCTCAGAAAACATACCTATGAGTCCATGGACCAGAGGGGAGTACTGGTTGTCGTTGGGAATGTAGATACCGAGGAAGTCAACGCTAATTGGATTTTTCTTCCACACTCGGTGTAGTAACACCATCATCTGGATGTTATTGTTTATCACGATGGAAACATGGGAGTTCTTTACGATAGAAATCCGCACACTGAAACACAGAAACATGAAGAAATTAGCCTGATGTCATAGTAGTAAAAAGAAAAGCGTTGTGCTATCAAAAAGCAGAACGAGGTGTTACCCGTCCTGTCTGATTTCAGCTGTTGCCCCCCAAGTGAAGGAGTTGTTGTTCCTGCCGTCAGTCATGGTGATGCTGTCGGTGCCGATGGTCACACTGACTCCATCGGGCTGATAGTACACTAAGATGGTGCCGAAGTAGGTGTTCAGTTTGTTCTTTTTCATCTGCTTTGAGCCAACGAGCTGACCATTTACCAGCAAACCTTCAAGACAGAAGAGACGGTTAAAGAGGAGGGGCAACATATCACAAACAATGTTATGCTTTTTTGGAAATTCCAGCAGCAAGAATTTAAAAAAAATGTGTAAAGTGAAATTAATAATATCAAAATTTTTCTTTAGATAATTATTATTGAGCATCTTATGTCGTGTGAGTGTTGATTTTCAATAACAGAATATACACAAATTGTTCAATAAAAGGTTGATAGTGACATATTTGGAGAAATATTCCTGTTAACTTTATAGCCAAGTGTAAGAGGAGATGTTTGATACCTCACTTGAATATGTCATTCAAATATGAAGCTACAGCAAGGGGCTGGTTAGATTATAGCTTAGCATAAGGATTGAAAGAGGAAAAACAGCAAACCAGCATTTCTATAGTTCTCTATTATGTCTTAATTTTATATAAGTACAAAAAAAGTCTTGAAAACATACAATTGTGGTTTTAAGTAGTCCTTTAAATTAGAAAAAAGGAACGTTTTGGTATCTGAACAAAACATCTTCTGGAAAAGTTACTTAAAACCATTCAGGAGGAGCTGGAAAACGTCGCTGGAATACAACATCTTTGCTATACTCTGTTATGTTTTCTGTCATTAAATAAAATGTCTTAACAGATATTTAACAAGTAGAGAGTAGTACCTGTTCCAGGGTCAGACACCAGGTTAAGTATGTGACCAGGTTTGGAGTCGATGTTGAAGCACACGTACGTGTCACTTATAGGCAGGTGGACGATGAAGTGAGGGTCGTTGTCCACTGATTGAGAAGACGATAATTACACATAGAGGGTAATGCTTACTTTTAACTCTGCGGCTTAAAAAATCTACGGGTATAAACATTTTTACCTAAGGTGACCTTGTGAGGTACTGTTTGCTCCTCGGGACCCTTGGCGGCTTCACTCGGGGGAGCCGGTGTGGGCATCTGGACCCAGGGTGGAGGCTCGTAGACGACACGGACTGGAGCCAGATTAGAGGACGCTGATCCTCCTGGTCCTCCTCCCATTCCTACATACATGACAAAGAGTGACAGGTAAATTCACTTTGATTGATTCATCTCAAATTTGTCTCGTACCCAGATGATTATGTTTTTATTTTTTTCAGACTTTATCAGTTAATCAAACTGGACTTGGATTCAGGCTTTTGACCTACAATGGTGAATGTGTTTTCTCTACATTTGCCTCCATGAATCCTTTGGCGTACCTGAGCAGCAGCCATGTTTAGGGTCTTTGGGGAAGTCAGCCAGCAGCCTCTCTGTGGCGTCCTCGCTCTCCACCAACATGGCGGTGAGAGGAGTGACGAACTGATGCTCCACAGCCAGCGCCATGATCCGCTGTGTGATCTTCCTCTTCTTAACAGCGGTCGGAGCCAAAGACCTTCAGAAGAGCAGTAACCCCGTCAAACACAGACAAATTCTGATCTGATTTAGTTTAAGGCTTAATTTACTCATCTCTGTTACCTTTCAGAGATCAGCTGTTTCACAGTGATGTAGGCCCACAGCTGCTTTGCAAAGCCGGTGAACGAGTGCTGCTGCTTAGCCAGCTCCTGGTCCAGCACCAAGGTGTCGGCCTCTGTCTCCAGGGTGATGTCAAGGCGGGCCTGCAGCAGGAAAAGAGGCTGGTAGTACTACTGCAAGGTGTAGGGATTCATTCCTGTTGCAGATTTTGACAGATTTGTTCATTCTACTCACGGCAGATGCGGTGGTGAAGCTGGTCAGGGTGTTGCTGTCGGACGGGAGCACCTTTCCAGCCACCACTATCTCCGAGCCGCTGAAGTATTTGTCGAAGCTGTTCTGGGTAACGTCGGACACGGTGTCTTCTGGGAACTGAACGGTGATTCGTCTCAGCAGAGGAGAGGAGACCTGGCTGTAAAATGTCTGCAAGGAAAAAGAAGGAAGTTGAAAGATCAAGAATTCCAGCATGTCACCAAAACCTTTTAAAATGAAGCATCAAAATCTCATGAGACAAGAACTGGAAAAGATATTCTTTAATTTCAAGACCAATGCTCTAAATGGTATCATAAAAATGGCAAATAGTCCAAATTCTCCAAATAGTTCAATGAAAACATCTAAGTGAGTTCAGTCTTGATGGTGTGTCGTCGTACCCGGAGCTGTTCTGCAGCGTCATGGTTAGCGTAGATCCTCTGAGCCATGCCCCTGTTCTCCATGGCGATCCGCTCCAGGAAGTCATAGTCCACGTCAAAGCCGATACCCAATGAGAAGAGAGAGTACTCCTCCCTCATCACACGCTTCACGTTCTTCTGGATTGCGCTGAGCTTGATCTCGCCTGCAATATATATGAATCATGTTATCAGCTAAAGAGTTAGCAACTTGTTTTATCTATCATGCCAAATTATAAGTTTGTCCTTTTGATTGTCTATTTATTTGATTCTGTTTCTTTTTTTTTATGTCTAATTTTAGGGGGCAAAAGTCTGCTGACTGCAAAAGGGAGACACAATTGATTTGTCTGTAATTTTCCAGAAAAGGAAGGTTTTGTAGATAGATAGAAGGCTACTGGATCCGTTGGGCAGTCTTACCCACAGTGGGGTCTCCATCAGACACCAGAATGATCATAGAGACAGACCGAGGGTCGATGAGCCCCTGATTGGACGCCTTCACCAGCATCTGAACCGCCCTCATCAGCGCCTCGTTAATGTTGGTACCTGGAGTCAAGGATCAGTAAAACATTGTCATCAACTGTTTAGCAGCGTTCTTGATTGAGTACTTAAGTAAGATGCTTCTTTTACCTCCGTTGGGTTTGATGTTCTGGACATATTTCTTGGCATCCGCAACCTGAATGGAGGATCCGTGGACCAGCTCCTCGTTCCAGCAGCGCACGTTGTGGTTGAAGTCAATGATGCTGAATTGATCATCAATGGTCAGGTCATCCAATATAGCCTTCATGGCCTCCACTGTCTGGGAGAGAGGATTGGTATTTGAATTTGGCTTGTTTGGCTTGTTGTACCCATCCAGTTTCTAAAAAATGTAGTACGGGAGGTAGAGCCTTTTAATTTTTAAGCTCCTCCCCTTTGGGTTCAACTATCTGTTTGGGTCCAGGAGGCAGACGGCCCTCTTTAGTTTCAAGGAATGGGCTTTAAACGTTCCTTTTTGATTACGCTTAGATAGTGCTGGCTCAGACGTGGCTTAGAACAGCTGCAATAGTCTTAGACTGCCAGGGGACTTGAAACTCTGAGCCCCTCTATACCTCTCCCTCTCAAGTTGTTTGTTTCCATATCCTGTTAATGCATGTAGGAAATGTTCACTTCTGCTGTCCCCGAATACTTTCTCAAAGTAAAATTTGTAAAATTTCAAGTGACTCTACTGTGGCACCATCAACCAGTTTGGGTTCTGCAGGCAGAAATCCTCTCTGCCTTTAAGTGTACTCCTAGAGCTTCCCTTTTTTGACAAAACTTGTAGTAAGAGCTTGCTCCGGCTTGCCTTTGAACAGCTTCTAGTTATGCTGCCATAAACTAGGAGATATTGGAGACTTGATTGAATGAGATTCATTCTGCAGAATGACCACAAGGTGGGAGTGTTTTACAAAGGAGTAGAGAGTAGGGGGGAAGTTGGATCGGTCAAAGTGCACAAAACTTCAATTGTGTAAACAAAAACAAATCCCTTACTTGCTTCATCTTGACTCCCCACATGGATCCGCTGACATCAATGACAAACACTATGTTTTTAGGGAGAGGAGAGAGGTTGGTAGGAGCAAAGAATTGAACAAAGTGTCCGTCTGAGACCTGGAAGACAACAATGAAGACTTGACTCATTATCTGCAAACTGTTTTAAACTTTCTATCAAAAATAAAGTTACTAGACCTTAAAGAGAACAGTTAGATAAGTATGTGTGATACCTGTAATTCCCCGGCATTGCTCTCTCTGTTGACATCATATCTTACAGTGAAGGCGCCGTCTATAGCGCTGTCTGTGCAGTTGTCACACTTTCTCTGCTGCTGCAGGTTTGGTTTGAAGGCAATATGAGCCTGCAGAAACAGATACAGAGCATTTTATGTTTGGTTAGACGTCCAGACGTCTGTACATCACATATAAAAAAGACAAGACTCACTGTAAAGTGTCTTTTTCATTTTCAGAATAAAGCTAAAGTATAAAGGGAAAAAATGTTTTTCTTGGCATTTTGAGAATAAGTTTGAGTAGCTCAGAACAAATTCTAAATGTTTTTTAATGGTTTATTTTATGGGGCTGGTTTCCAGGGTCCGAAATCCAGGACATACGATTGTGGAAAGACATGCGGAAGGAAGCCATAGGCCAGATTTGAACCTGGGATGCCTGATTGGAGGACTATAGCCTCTGTACATGGGGCGCGTGCACTAACCACTAAACTATCGGCCAGTTCAGGTTCTCTGCAAAAAAATCCCAACAGGTATCTCTATAAAAATTACGTTGTGGATGTCTAGAGGTTTTCCAGTCTTACCTTTTCTTTTGTTTGTGTCACTTTGATCAGGTTTGCAAAATTCTCTCCGAGGTGCTCGGTACGGTTACTCTGGAAATTCCTTCGGCTCATAGATGTACACATCCACCTGTGACGAGACCAGGTATAAGTGGACAATTGTAGGAACAAAAGTGTGGCTTAAAAAAAAAAAAAACAGAAATGTCATGATGTGGCCACCTGGAACTGAGGCACCAGTCTCCCGGGCTGCAGGAATAGCGAGTGCTCGTAGAAGCCCAGCCTCCTGTGCATCATCTCCTGGTAGTGGAGCTCGAACTCGATGTTACTGCCCGGGGGAACATGGACCTCGGTCTTAAAGGTCTCTAAATCTGGGAGTTCGACCTGTGAAGCAGAGAGGTTACAGTATGAAGGTACTGAGATTTTTTACAGAAGGAGGAAATCCAGGAGGGCCTTCTGGTACCTGACGATCCCGGCTGCCTTGCCTCTGGCTCTGGCCTGGGCGTAAAGGTTCCTCGCCACTGTCTTCTCCTTCACTGAGCCCACAAATGTAATCCCGTTCACATTCCTGCGACGAAAAAGAGAGTGCATGTAGTGATTAAAAAAAACTACTTGAAATATATTTTGAATGGTGTGAAGCTGGTCTCACATGGTGAAGTTGGATATGAAAGCTGTTTTGGGGATCTGGACGTTGAAGCCGATGCTTTGAGCTTTGGAGCCCGAGTTGACCACGGAGCTCCTGACGGTGGTGTGGGCGAAGCGCGACGTGATGCGGCTCTCCACCTTGTAGCTCTTGACGGTGATGTCATCTCCACGGATGGCCTTGAGTAGGAAAACACAAGGTACAAGACAGTTTTCATTCAAGCACCTCTCTTTATTAGAATTCGAAAACAGGCCGTTTGGATATTTTCCCTTTATGGCATCACAAAGGGCAGTAGCCCCTCCCCCAGGTGGGTGACACTCCCACAGCTAGGTGTTTGTTCTGCCTCTGAGTCTGCCTTCTCACCATAAACAATAGGACATGGAGCGAGAAAGCACCGAGTACACCCGAGCCCTTCCAGAGAGGGGGCGTGGTCATACACAGCTCATTTACATATTTAAAGGTACAGACACAGAAACAGCCTGTTCTGAGCAGGGCTGAAATAGAGGGGTTTATAGGCATGATCAAATACAGGAACAGAGTGGATTTAGAACAAGAAACTTCACACACATGTTTTGAGGAGCTCTGAGACTTATTTGAAATTGTTGAAAAGGAGGATTGTATGTGACCTTTAACATAAAAATGGATACTGCTCTTATTATTGAAGGCTAGCGCTGCTTAGCATAAAGGCTGGATAGACAGAAGAAGCAAGACTTGTTCAAAACTTTGTCTACAGCACGTCAGCTTTGTGCTCCATAGTTTTCACCTCTCTGTCAGCGCGTATTGTAAATTAAATAGGAAAGATCTCATGATGGTTTACCGTTTAAATAAGGACAACTTTACATAGAGAAAGATGGCCAAGAATGGAGGCATGGCAGGATTAGTACAGAATAAAGTCAATAACCCATCAGTCACGAGAATCTCTTCAAACAGCTGAATATTGACCGTTAGATAAGAGTCAACTCTGTCACAGTGTAGAGGCTCCAACAACAAGAGGAGAGTCATACCTCAAAGTCTTCCTGCTCCTCGCTGGTCAATATCGCTCTCTGAAAACACACAGGAACACATCAAAAAAAACATTTCCAAACTGTTTTAATCGACAATCAGAGATAAAATGATTAATAAAATAAACAGTTATTAACAATCAGAGGCAGAGTGGGGTTGTTTGATGAAGCTTGGACAGGTATTTTTTTCGATCGATGGACGTCTGCAGTTATTGCAACACCAAAAACCCACTGCTCATGCTCATCATCATCATCACACTATAAAAGGTTGAACATGTCGGGTTAGTGTGTAAAAGATCTCACCTTGTTTCTCTCATAATGATCATGAACATGTGTCTGGAGGAGAAAACAAAAATGTGATCAAAGGACGATTTAAACTTTAGACTTTCTGAGTGAAGGAAGGTAAAGAAATAGTAAAGTTATCTGCTAAATTAAAGAAACATTTAATTTATTTTCATGTGATTTCACAATAAGTCATGTCTTTTTTTTTTAAATATTTATCTTTCAGAGATGTACAGATGAGTTTTAGAGGCCAATAGTCAGGGCAGGTGATTCTTAAAGAAACAGGATGTCGAAATATGGTCGTAATAATGATGGAAATCTGACTTTGACTCAACCAGCCTGAGCAGAATAATTTAGACTTAGATAACTTTATTTATCCCAGAGGGCAATGCGGTTCCACAGTCCACCCAGACCATGCAAACATTCACAAACAAACAACAGATGGAGTTTATCAGCTCGTGATACTCTCGTGTGGTCTCTTTGGGCAATGACACCCACAAGGGCCAGATGAAAAGCACGATTTAAAGGACAACAGTAATAAATACATAAGACAATAAATACATAACCAAGACATCACACTGAAGGCTACATTCAAGGAATTTATTTAATAAACGTGGTTTTGTTTTTCTTTAGTGTAGTTTCTTTACTGTTTCATTTAAAATCTTAACATTTAAACAAACATGATCATTAAAAAAATCAAAATTGGCAAATATTACCTTTGGTGAGTAAAAAAGTTCAAATGTTTGAGAAATAATTCAATTGTTTTTTTAAATGTTTCAATATTTCTAACGTGATACAGAACTCACGTGTGATGAAAAACGTTTGAAATGAGGAAAACAATTTTTTTTTTGCTTTTTTTCTGTATTTAGTTAAATTCTCTTTAATAAAAACACATAAAAATCAATGATGTTTAAAAGGAAGTAATGGTTCTTTTTCACTGGTTAAATTTAATCCAGATATAATTTGCTTAATGCATCGATAACATCAGATTTTAAACGTTTCTTGCATCAAATAAAAACACAGCTTTTTTTGATCGGTACACTCATTTGATGAGGCTCTCACAGTAAACAGTGGGTTACGTTGTATTCTGTTAATAAAAGCTGCACAAACAGAGATTTTCATAGATATAATCCTCAGACTCACCAGCTCATCCTCCCATTCTCCGTCGATTACAAACTCAAAGCAGCGGCCCTCGTGGAGCAGCAGGAGCCCCAGAAGCAGCAGCAGCAGACGCCTCATGTTTCCCGTCCTGTGGGCTCAAACACACACTCCCTCACGCGCACACACACATATATATATATTTAAAAGCAATACAAAACACAGCTGCTGGGACACACACACAGACGGTCCTTCTGCAGGGAGCTGAGCTGAAAACTGAAGGTTAAAATCCACTGAACTGATTGACTTCAGCCCCAGTCAATATTTGTTGTGTTTCATGAGAGGAGAAGGAAACTTTGAAACTTGACCTGCAGAGTGGGCCGGGTAAACAAGGACTCATTTAGAGATTAAAACACATCAAACACACACACACACACACACTGATCATAGATCTGGTGCTCTGATATAAAAGTCACGAACTCAACATCATGCAGGACTGTCAGATAAATGTATTTATTTATTATTTAAAAAAAACTATCTTTTAAAAACCGGGTGCAAAGAGACACATAAAGAACATTTACATGGCATATTTTTAAAGTTTACACAAGCAAGATGTAAAGTTGCCCTGTGGCCATAAGATGGCACCAAAGTTGCTCTACCCGTCTTCATGTCTTCTCTGCTGGATTGTAAAGCAAAGAGGGGATTTTTAGTTTTTAGGGAAACAGGTGTTTTTAAAAATGTGTTTTGTCACCAGTAAGTAAAAGTTACATGCTGTCAAAACAAACTGGACAAGGCAAAACGCCATGCTATCTGTGAGTAGTTACACACACTAAGATTTTTTTCTCATAGTCCACTGCACAGCTCCTACATTGCACATTTTGTACATTTTGTGTTTTGTATTTTTATATATATATTTTATATTTTACATTTTTAAATTCTATTTTATATATTGTAATAGCTTCTTATTCTGTATTATTTAAGTTGTTGCTAATTCTGCTTTATTTCCCAAAAGTCAAATTCCTTGTATGTGTAAATGTACTTGGCAATAAACCCTGATTCTGATTCTGATTCTGATTCTGATTCTGATTCTGATTCTGATTCTGATTTAGATTGAATTAATGACTTATTTAAGAAGGGCATCTCTGCAGAGCTAAGATTTTGAATGGGCCAGGTAGTTGTCAATTGGGGGCGGCTGTGGGTCTGTGGTAGAGTCATCTCTCAACCGGAAGGTCGAGGGTTCGACCCCCAGTTCCTGCCAGTCAGTCTCTATCATCAGTGTGTGAATGCATAGGTCTGACCTGCGGGACTAGAAAAAGCTCAACTCCATTTATAGATATATTTCTAAAGAAGCTAAAGTACCTCTGTCAATCAAAAACACATTTTACTGTCGACTTGATTGATTGGGAGATAACTGAAAGGCTGCAATTGGCCCAAATAAAAATAAATGATTGACAGTTAACCGAACCTCTCAAGACCGCTGTCTGCAGACACACAGTCTTGAAAGAATTGGATCATAATTTGTTAAATTAAAGAAAAAAGAAAATGAAAAAAAATCATTACAGCCACCTAGTGGTGACTACAAGTATAATGTTGGGAAGTTTTCCCTTTATTTATGGTGTCATTTTTAGTCACTTTAAAAATGCAGACATTTAAAAAAGATGGTCATTTTTTTTATCGTCGTTTTATGTTGTGTAACTTTTTCCCGGGTTTTATTGGTTGATTTCTATATATGATATATCCACTGCCAGTTTTTGGCTATGTGAGGCATTTTGGGCTGGATGGTTGTAGGAAAGGGGCTTCATACAAAAGTGTTATTAAAATCTCCAAAAGCAAATACATTTACTTTAAAACCATGTAATCATGCTCTCTGCAAAATCTCGGACACTCCCTGAACGCATCAGCAGCTCTTAATTGTCACCCACTCGGGTCTGAACACTCTGCATCTCTCTCCTCCAGTCTGTGGGCGTTTTTTTTTATCTCCGCCACACCGTCTCTCTCTCTCTCTCTCTCTCTCTCTCTCTCTCTCTCCCTCTCTCTCTCTCTCTCTGCCTCACCCACCCGGTCACTCTGATCACGGACTGTCAGAGACGTCGCGCTGCTGGAAATGAGAATGATAATGTCCATTTTATCATTTTGAAGTTCTACTGGAGAAGGATTACAAAGATGCTGCTGTTTGCTTTACTTGTTTGTTTCAGCCCGAACGTACTGGGACAACTGGAGGAATCCCAGTTCGGAGATGAGATCGATATCGACCTTGCAGATTTTGATTTAGACATTGTAAGACATTGTAAGAGATGTGATTTATTTTTGTATGTTTGAGTTCCCTTTTTTTTTTTTTATTCTTTATTTTTTTGTGTACACAGGCTCCACGCAGGGTCCCACGGCAGGTGAAAACCATTCTCAGCAAGGTAAAGTCGAATTCAATGCACAAATATGAAGATATTAATATATGTTATTACAATATTTATCTTATTTGTTCCTAAATTTGAAGGAAAATAGAAAATATCGTCATGATGAGTCTTAGCCAGGTGATAATTTGGCACAGTGGGTAAATACTGACGCCTTTTTCTGTCAATAATGAAACCTTTTAAGAGGTGTTTAAAGAGAGCTGGTATCCCTGGTATGTAGAAAACATCTGATTTTAACAGAACTGTATATTTCAAATAGTGACCTAGAATGCATGACCTAGTTTGAAGTTATTTACAAGCACATTTTGTCATCCTAAAGTTGTGCGCTTTGGGCGTGACGCACCGGAGATCAGCCAAGCGCGCAGATGTGCCAAAGTATCTGTAATGCACTGACTGCACTGAGCTCATGGGGAATCATTTCTCTGCTTGTGTTTTGTTATTTTAACTGTTTGGGAATTCAGTTTTACTCGGAATATCAAAAAATAAACAAGTGATAGAGATCAATATGCTCAATATGGGCTGCGTAAAAACGGTGCCAAAAATGGCGTTCCTGAACAACCAGCTTGACATGAAGGTGATCTAACGGTGCAGGTGTTTCTGTATGAATGTTTTTTTTTTTTTTTGTAGGAGACTAAACCTCACATCCAGGAGCTCTCCATCAAGACCACCATCATCTCGCGCTACGCCTTCACAGCGGTGTACTGCGCCATGCTGAACCGGCACACCGCCGCCACAGAGGCGTCTTCCAGTTTCAGATCCCCAGCGGAGCTTACGTCTCCAACTTCACCATGTAAGAGTCTCACAGCAGGTCACATCATAGCAGCGGACCTAATAATTAAAAGAAGATGGTCACTGCGTCATCAGGATACACATTTTGGATTTTTACTAACTCTGGGATCACCTGGAAATCTGGAATACTTTTTTTTAACATAAATTAGTGGAAACCTTCAGAAGATGAAAATGATCTGTTCAATCTGCTAAGAAAAAATATACAACATTTTGCAAAAATCAAACACCAAATGGTATGGCCAAAATAAAAATAAAAACAGCCATTAACCAACCAGGATGATCCTCTCATTTTACAAAATCTAACTTTAATGGAGGACTATGTGTGCTTAAATGATCTTTTTTTCTGAATATTTTGACCCAGCTGAGGAGCCCGAAATCCTTCAGTTGATAATAAGTCACCAAAGAACTTGAAGAAGATTTTCAAGGACAGTTAAGTGGCATAACTCTACAACAGCAATTTGCCACTTTTGTGACCTTTAAAATGAAGCCATGCGCTCTTGTCACTCTTCATTTGACCTCAGTGTTGACAGAAGTTGTGTTTAGGGAACGCTCTGGGGTCAAATAATCAGAAGAATGTTTTACCATAAGAGAAAAAACCAGAGATTCAGAATAAAAAGGAAAATGGCTGAAAACATAAACACACTCATGTCACAGATGTGCACATTTTCTCCCTCGGGTCCCTTCAATCATCTTGTGACCTTTTTGTTTCTATCTTATGACCTCCATGTCGGCAAACACTGCTCACTGGTTACTACTTAAATTGGTCCTCTTTGTTGTTCTTGTGCTGCCACAAATTGTTGTTATCAGTAAAGTTTGACACATTTTTAATAAATAACAATTTCATTTAGAGTTTTGAAGAGCGTATCATAAAAATGGAAAGATGGAAAAAATGGAAAGAAAGAAATCAAGTTATGCAATGCCGGATATCTTACTGAGAGACTTAATCACCTCATCAGCTGAAAGTTTAGCAACAAACAACTTAACAATGAAACATGACATCATCATCCTGGCACTTTTTTTTTATCAGTCTGCTCACAGAAATAATTCAACAGAGGAGATTAGGAAGTTTTAAAAGGTAGGATTGGCTGGAAGGATTTATGATGACTCCATTGCTATGGAAACGTTAATGAGGAGCCAAGGAAGGGTGGACACTTTTATACTGCTGTTACACACACACACACACACACACACACACACACACACACACACACACACTGACCCCCCCCCCCCAGTTCATTCATTCATGTGCAGGACTGTGGCCCGTAAAAGGCAACAGCAGGATTTGTCCGAGAATTCTGCCCTTTTGTGTGAGAAAACGGGGGCTGAAACGTGAAACAATAGGTGGTCCTGAATATGAGCAAGGCTCTAATCCTCCACCTTTTACCCCAGGATCATCGGGGGGCGGGTCTACCAGAGCGAGGTCAAGCCGAAGGAAAAGAGGGTCAAACAGGAGAGCGGAAAAGCCAAGAACAAAGAGGCAGGTGATGCAAGGTAAGAAGAACCTCTAAGTGTGTGTGTGCGTATTTCAGAGTGTGTGTGTGTGTGTGTGTGTGTGTGTGTGTGTGTGTGTGTGTGTGTGTGTGTGCCTCCTCTGGTCCGCTGTCTCCTCCTAATTACACAGCAGCTCTCCTAACCTCTAATGTTCCTATTTTGCAAACAGAGACTGATAATAACCCGACTGAGAGCTCTTTAAGGCGGACACAAAGAGTCAGTGTGTGTGTGTGTGTGTGTGTGTGTGTGTGTGTGTGTGTGTGTGTGTGTGTGTGTGTGTGTGTGTGTGTGTGTGTGTGTGTGTGTGTGTGTGTGTGTGAAATAAGATCATTTCCAATTTGCAATTACATTTGTGACCTCAGAAATGACACATGGAAGAAGTGACATCAAGTTTCCAGCTGTCATGCAAAAAAATTGACATTTTCATGAAATGAGATTTAGCTGCAGAGCCGAGGAGGAAGGAAAGGACTGAGGGGATGAGGTGACATAAGAAGGAGGCGAAACTTCCTCATGAATCATGTCACCAATCTGACAGTTCATCCACTGCTCCACCTTTTGTAAACAGACTTGAGCTTGGAAAGTTATTTTTCTTGTCTTCTGATTCCTCTCTTCCCACCTCAGTCCCGTGCAGGAGGCGGAGGTGTTCAAGATGGCCGCCAACATCCCCGGGAGAAACCGGGCCATCTTCCTCCTGACCTATGAGGAGCTCCTGGAGCGCCGTCTGGGGCGCTACGAGCACGTGACCAGCCTGCGGCCGCTGCAGCTGGTCAGCCGCCTGAGCCTGGACGTCACCATCGTCGACCACTCGCCAATCACCGACCTGCAGGTGCTGCCACTCCGCAACGGGAGGACCAGCAGTGGAGCCAACACTAAACTGAAGACACCAGGTTCTGTAGATACATCTGGATGTTGAATCAGTTATGCAGAAGTGGCTTTAACCTGCATTCTTTCTAACGGCCACTAGGGGGCGACTCCTATATACATGCACATCCCATTTCTCAAAAAATCTCTAAAAACAGAGAAACAGATGTCTGCATAAAAAAGCCAAAAGCTGTTGGTGCAAGACAAGATTTTAGAATCCGAGACGTTTCCATTGGTCGTCCAAGTATTGACCAATCATGTTTGACGTGTTTTGGCTTGTCATAATAAGGTCCCTTCTGGCGCCAACAAATCAGGATTTGGACAAAATAGACCACACCTTCTTCCCCTTCTTACAGAAAGTAACTGACCCATCTCAAAATAACCGTTTAAAGAGATCATTGTTGGAGCTGCTGTGCCACCCTTTTAAATATACTATCAGGTCACGGTCACTTCTCTTGCTTCAGGTGTTTGTTCTCAACCCGGCACTTCCTGTCTTTGTGTTTCAGCCAAGCCGGAGCCTCCCGTCACCACCATGATCAAAAAAGAAAAGAACGTCTGCAAAATCACCTTCAGCCCCAACATCGTGCAGCAGGCCAAGATCACCACCAACGGCCTCCTGGGAGAGTTTGTGATCCGCTATGACGTGCAGAGGGACATGGGGATAGGAGACATCCAGGTGATGAAGAAAAAGCAGGAAAAACTAGTTAAAAAATGAAAAATAGTTGATATATTTTGTAATCATGCACATAAATTTAACTTTACACACACACTGATCCACCCACCTGTTAGTCGTTCATTTCTCTGGCTTCCTGCCACCTGAGCCGCTCCACTGCCAAACTCCTCTCTGTCTTCAGGATCATGCTATGTTTTGGAAAATCAAGGCACATTGACTGCATCTGATCCCCCCCCCCCCCCCCCCCCCGCCCCGCCCTGCTGCACGCCTATTTAAACTCTCTTGTCTTTTTCCCAGGTTCTAAACGGACATTTTGTCCACTACTTTGCCCCCAAAGACCTTCCCGTTGTTCCCAAGAATGTGGTGTTTGTGATCGACACCAGCGCCTCCATGCTGGGGACAAAGATCAGACAGGTAAAAAAAATCACACTTAAGAAACTGTTTTGAAGTAAAAGCTGCAGGAAAGTTTTGAATTGTTCAACATTTGTTGGGGGCGTCCCAGCTTCCACTCCGACATGGGAGAAGGTTTGGGATCCAATTCTGAAAGAGTTCATGTTTCAGCAACACATTCTTGATTCATTGGTATATTTTAAATTAAATGGTTACAGTCCAGGAATTTGACATTTTGTGCATTTTCCCATCTTTAAAAGTTAATTCTGATAATTTCAGAATAAGCTCTATATCGGGGGTCTCCAACAGGTAGCTCGAGGGCAGGTTCTAAGTTGCTCGCCTATAGGTTGACCAACTGTGTTCAAAAATAAAAATAAAAATCTGACGACAGTAAATGCACCTCTTCCCACTCATCATATATTTGGCCCATAAAAACAAGTGTAAAGTAGAAATGTTTTCTTGGATGTGAATTTTCAGCAACATAGTTTACACAATAAGAAGTGTAAAATATTCATGTTTTTTTTTTTGGACCTTGATGTGAATTTAAGATTATTGATAAAGCATTGGCTTATTGCAAACAGTAGCTTAATTCAGCTGATGTGTGCTGTGTAAATAAATGCAAGTGATTTGATGCAAGTAGCTCTTGGCCACTCTCATTTTTTCAAAGTAGCTCTCAGATGAAGAAAGGTTGGAGACCTCTGCTCTATATATTCATTATTTGGGCTCTAAATGACAAAAGAGTTTTGGAACGTCTTTGGTAGATATCTTTATCAGCTGAAACTTCAACATCTGTAACGGCTGTGATGTAATCCTTTGGGGCGATTACACCCGATCAAAAGAGATCGTCTTTGACGCCAACATGCTCGGATTTTTATACGAAGTGTTTGACAACATTTTGGAAAGAATCCCAAAAGAGATAGACCGTTTTGTTAAAGGGTAAGATGCCTTTTTTTAACACCAGAAACAGCTGTAACATTGCTCTTTTGAAAGTCACCAAACTCACTTCACAGAGGGACGCTGGTGGCCTCTGCACCTTTAAGAAAAAGCTAAAGACCCAGCTCTTTCATGAATACCTACTAACTTAATGATGATGGTCTCCATATTATTGATGATGATGATGGTAATGACGATGGTTTTTGTTTGATAACGACGACTTATAAGATGGTTTCTATACTGATTAGAGCTCTCAAGAACTGCCCTCAATGTTGTGCTTTGCCTCTGGTCACTTCCTGTCAGCACCTGTGTGTCCAATCAGACTCAAAGCTGATCGTTTGCTCTTACTGACTTTGTTCCCTTTTTTCTAGATCCTTGCTTGTGTTGTTCTTACTCTCTGATGTACGTCGCTTTGGAGAAAAGCATCTGCTAAGAGAATTGTAGAATTGTAGAACTTTCATACCTCCTGAAAGAACTATATGGGATTTTTGCTAAATGGTTTACTGGATCTATTGCAGCCTAAAGATTCACAAAAGGTGTCGGTTAGCCCGGACATGAAACCCATTCTTTCTTTACCCAAGAGTGCAAGAAGGAAATGTGATTAATTTCCTTTGCATCCCTTGCGAAACAATTTACCTCACTGAATTTGAAATGGCTACATTTGAATGGCTACAGAAACCCGACACCCACCTCCTCACTCCCACACCGGAATATCAGCATCAGACCTTTATTTCCCTCTGCCTGTAATAGCACCGTAATCCCCCCCCCCCCTCCCCCCGGCCGCATTCAAGAGCTGAACTCTGCAGCTGCTGGGTGAGTGCAGAAACAGTAAAGAGAAGGAGCGAAACTGGAAATCAGATTTTTCAGTGAGAAATCCAAAAAAGCAGAAACATGGAGCACAAGGCCACGCTGTGAGGGAGGAAGGTCAGTGTCGATGGGGTAATGGAACTTTCTAGACAACAGAAACCCTCGACCCCTTGATCCGTCCCACCCCCACCCAATCGCCAACCCCCAGCGGGGCTGCAGGAACAGAACAACAAGTGTGTTTTGATGTGGCTCCACAATAGAGGGTTTCAGCGCAGGTCAGTGTGTGGTTGTGACCCCGCTGTATATGGCACGTATGGGACATCTCTAAATCCCTCAGAGCCAAACTATATATCACAGCAACGCTCAGGGCTGCAGAGAAGAGTAGATGAAGACGCTTCAGGAAAGAGAATGAGGACCAAGCTTCTGAGTCAACAGATTTTGCCAAATCATGACAAATCAAACTAGATGGCAGGTGAAATATTGTATTTTTTTGTTGTTGTTGAATTTTGCACTCAGTTTCCTACATCTTACAAAGGTTTCAACCAAAGAAGTAAACACACTTTTAATAAAGGCAATAGTGCATTTGCTTTGATTGAAAAACCAGAAAGAAGACACACACACATCCCTCAGTGCTGGATCCAAAAAAAACACATGAATAGGTAAGGAAAGCAAAACAAGATCCGCACACCCGAGACGCTCTCATTTGAAGGATTTATTAAGTGACGTTTGGAGCCAACATGCTCTTCCTCAGACTTCTGCATTTGCTTTGATCGCCTTGCTTCTGGAGTGAATTCTGGAAACGGCAGATTTGCAGCACCAGAGATTGAAGAAGGAGGGTGGAAAAATCTACATTAGCTAGCATTGCTTGCAGCTTTTCCATTATAATACTTGGACATATTGTGAATGAATGTGGCCTAACATATTCCTATTAAAACTCTTATACATTAGAGATTACATAAACATGATTTCTGCATGAGTTTGGCCAAACAGAGACCAAGTCAGGTTAAGTCTTGTAGCTCAAATTTAAGCTAAAATGGATTCATTGTTCACCAATAACTTAAGGGTAAAAACCTGGATCATCAGCGAGCAGTCAAACTAAATCTTCCACACCTGGAACATTTCAGGGATCAAATTCATGCAGGCTCAAACAATATTTTCTTTGAAAGATCAAACTATTTTCTTTTTAAAATGAAAACTTTTGGATGCATTTTTGTTGCAGCATCAATACAAGGATAGCTACGATGGCATATTGGAGCCATAGTTCATCAAATCAATTGTAGTAGCCAGATGGGGTAAAAAGTCTTGAACAAAAATGCCCCTTTACAGACGACACAGTTGTGTTTCTTTGGGGAAAAAATGACAGTGATGACATCTGGAAGTCATTCAAAACCAACTCAGTTAACTGATGGATGCACGACCAAACTCTCACATCAGAAACAAAACATATAGTTTGAGATTTTCTATTGACGCACTCTTCCGTCTTTTTCAGACCAAAGACGCTCTGTTCACCATCCTGAGGGATCTGCGACCAGGCGACCGCTTTAACTTCATCAGCTTCTCCAATAAGATCAAAGTTTGGCAGCCGAATCGTCTGGTGCCGGTGACGCCTCTTAATGTCAGGGATGCTAAAAAGTTTATCTACACACTGGCAACCACTGGAGGTGAGACATCAAGATGGATAAACACGAGTGTTTGGTGGGTTGTTGGATTCTTAACACCATCTCTCTACCACTGCAGGCACAAACATCGACGGCGGCATCCAGACGGGATCATCTCTCCTACGTGAGTATCTCTCGGGACCTGACGCCAGCCCGAACAGCGTCTCCCTCCTCATCTTCCTGACCGACGGTCGGCCCACGGTCGGGGAGGTCCAATCCGCGGCGATCCTGGGGAATACTCGCACGGCGGTTCAGGAGAAGTTCTGCATCTTCACCATCGGGCTCGGGAACGATGTCGACTACCGGCTGCTGGAGCGCATGAGTTTGGAAAACTGTGGGATGATGAGACGCATCAGCGAGGATGCCGACGCGGGCGCCATGCTCAAAGGGTGAGAGTGCTCCCCGTCTATCTGCTCAGAATCACATACAACCTGTCCTTATAACAACCAATTACATCATTGATCCAATCTACTGGTTATCCCATTAAGTTTTGAAAACATGAATGTAAAACAAAGGATTTATTTTCTGTCTCCACCTATTATTATTTAGTTTTTTAATTGGACAGGATTTTGTAGTGAAACTCCTCGCGCTGGTTGTCTAATAATGGTGAATGGTATACTGACTTGAGCCTGAGTCGCACTTTTCTAGTCTTTTGACTCCACATGTCGCACCCTACAAATTCACACACTGATGGTAGAGGTTTCCATCAGAAGTAACTAATCCCATTCATACACATTTATATGACACTGCCAAAGCAGAGGGAGCAATTTGGGATTAAAGTCTTTCTATGTGATTTTTCACACTTAAATATATAAATCAAGTATATCCTCTGAAAATAACTCTGTGAGTCATGACTGTCTACAATGGGTGTAACACCCGAGTCCCACTGTCTGTGATGTTTTCAGAGTTTTCAGAGTCCTATCTTCAGTTTGTTTACATCGCCGGGACGGCCGGCTGACTCCTCCCCTCGTGTATAAAAGTTGTTTAATTGAGGGACTAGAGAAAAGAAGAATAACATACTGTACTCACTGCTTAACTGTGTTTCTAGATCACGCTCATTTCAGGTAAATTTACATGCAGTGTGAGTAGTTTTGGTTTCATGCTGGTGCTCAAGAGCGACATCTGCTGGATCAAAAAATCACATATAAAGCCTTTAAGAACATATTGGACATATTGGCTGCAGGAGCTGGGGCTCGAACCCCCGACCCTTCCGCTTAAGAGACGACCGACTCTACCCACTGAGCCACATCCGCCCTGATGAACAGAAAGATTAGAACTTCTCATTCATGAGAGGATTTTTCATCGACTTTTAAAAAGTAATATCTGTCAAATCTCCCCTCCTTATATTTTTTATCCCCCTCTTATTAATCATTGGTTCTCCTTAACCCTTTCCCTCGGCCCCTCTCACACGTCTCTCATCGGGCGACGGGGGTAACGGAGACTGAAAATGTGACGGTGCTGACAACAGACCTCTTTAATCAACTTCTACATGTGACAGCCACACACTCACACAGCCACCTCTCTCTCTCTCTCTCTCTCTCTCTCTCTCTCTCTCTCTCTTCCGCACTCGGACACGAGGTGTTTGTTCAGTCTGGGCAGGAATGTGTGTGTGTTGTGAAACCTGCATCTGAGTGTGTGCGTGGGGTTAACAGATAGACTCCTCAGATAATAGACCCTCGTCCCCGCTTGAACAAACACAGCGGTTAAGAGGTGAGGAGGTTTACTGCGGCGTGACAAACGGACGCATACACACACACTTACACGTGCTCACGCTCTTTTCTTTTTTATGAATGTATGCACAGACTCTGAAGTGGGGTTTCAGAGGTCAGACAAGCAGGTTTTACAGCCGGAAGGTGGTCTCTTTGAGTAAACATGAGATTTGATGAAATCTGTACTCACAACCTTCTTTTCCTTCTTTTAAAAACAAAACTTAAGTCCCCTTGAGCAAAAGACTGAATCCATAAGCATGGGACAGTTTGAAGATCAACAGAGGAGAATAAGTGACAAGAAATAACAGTCGATCAAGACAAGTGTTGGAGGGGGGATAGTCGAGGAAGCAAAAGCTGAAGAAGTTTGGACAAAATTGGGAGCAATAAAAAGCCGAGCTAAAGGTCTACTAGCTTGTAAATGTAACTCTAAGCTAATGCTACAGCCTAATACAGAGGGGTTGCTCTGCATCACAAACCAATCTTCAAACAATTGTCAATGTTTTTTGGAGCTTCCAGTGTTAGGGTTCTTTGCCAGCAGTTAGTGATAACATACTTTAGGCCATACCATATTTTTCCATGCGTCGTCATAGTTTACAGTCAAACTGGCAACTCAAAAAAAGCAAGAAGTTGGTTTGAGTTTGGAGGCAACTTTTAAAGATTGGGTTTATTACCTGAACTTGCATGCAGAAACCAGAACAACTTCAGATTCCAAAATCCAGTCCAATGGATGGAACACAATTTATTCAACCCATCATTTCTATTCCTGGATTCATGCAGCAAAACCTGTAGCTGAGATTAAAATCGATTTATGTTTTGACTCTTATTCATTCTGCCATCATCCAGTTAACTTCTTCTTCTTTTCCAGGTTCTACGATGAGATAGGAACTCCTCTGCTGTCTGACATTAGGATCAACTACACCCAAGACTCGGTCCAGTACGTCACTCAGCAGCTGTTCACCAACTACTTCAACGGCTCGGAGATCGTCATCGCCGGCAAGTTGACCAACCAAAGTGCGGAATCGCTGCACGTCCAGGTGACGGCGAGCAACAACGACAGAAACATCATTCTGGAGACCGACGTTCCTCTGCGGCAACGACAGATAGAGACCGAGAAGCATGTGCAGGCCGCGACGGTAGCGATGGCGGAGGGAGCCAAGCTCCTGGGTTCGATAACCGATGACTTTGTGGAGCGTGTGTGGGGTTTCCTGAGCGTGAAGGAAGGGCTGCGGTCAAGGCTGCGGAGCCAAACCAGCAAGGAGAGAGAGGAGCACATCCAGCAGGCCACTAATTTGTCGCTGACCTACCACTTCCTCAGTCCGGTCACCAACCTGGTCGTGGAGAAGCCCGAGGTCCTTGCCGACAACACAATGGCCCCGACACCGACCATCGCCCCGGCACCCACCATCGCCCCAGGAGCGGGTGAGACTATGTCAGCTGACAACGACCTGCCAGGTGATACAGAGGATGGGAAACCAGGCAGACCGACTTCATCTGTGAGCAACAGCATCGGTAAAGATGGTTTTTTTTCCACATTTGGTTGTAAAAATATTGTAAAAATACCTCCAAGTGGGCTTCATATGAAACTCATTTGGAGGTTTAAAAGGCTTTATATGCTTAAATGTATAAATCAAGTATATCCTCTGAAAATAACTCTGTGAGTCATGACTGTCTACAATGGGTGTAACACCCGAGTCCCACTGTCTGTGATGCTTTCAGAGTTTTCAGAGTCCTATCTTCACTTTGTTTACATCGCCCGGACGGCCGGCTGACTCCTCCCCTCGTGTATAAAAGTTGTTTAATTGAGGGACTAGAGAAAAGAAGAATAACATACTGTACTCACTGCTTAACTGTGTTTCTAGATCACGCTCATTTCAGGTAAATTTACATGCAGTGTGAAGATACCAGCATAATAAAGATCGCTAGCATTAGCATGCTAACACAACAATGCAGCGCAAGTTGTTTTGGTTTCATGCTGGTGCTCAAGGGCAACATCTGCAGGATCCAAAAAATCGCATATAAAGCCTTTAAAGAGGAAGCATCAAACAATGCTAGTCCTCTGACTCAATGCTGTGAATAAATATTCTCTTCCTTTCAGGTAAAGTTCAGAGGAGACCAGCCAAGAAGTCGATCACCGTCTCAAAAACATCAGGTGACTTTCACATTTTTCATCTGCACATTTCCTCCCTCGCTTGATAACATCTAAACCCTGTAGACCGTTAGCATGTTTGCAGTGCGGGTTTGAAAGGCTCCTTAAGGGAGACTTGAAAGAGAGGAGACGGGGAATGTACAGTAGACTCTCTCTGCCTGTAATTTGGACGCTCGTCAGACAGCGCGACGGGTTCAGGGACGCCTGTGAACATGACCTGAAAAGAGGAAAAAAAGAACACACAGAGGTCTAATTGAAATACCAACACAAGCACTAGGTGGCACTTTAAAACATGCAAGTGCGTGTTTCAAAAACACACACACACACTGAGGGGGAAACAGGACGGAGTGAAGAGATGAAGGTGGATGTGTAACAGTGTGAAGAGAGGGAGCCATCAGAGGCCGTTAGTGAGGGTTAATGACCCTGTCATTACTGTTACTCTATCATCTCTCCTCTGTTCATCTCAGCTCGTTCTCACAAGGCCGAGGACGCTCTGATGTTTTAAATCCTTTCTTTCAAAATGATTTTTATTGATTTTTCATTTTTGGATGCATGTTCACATTATTAGATGGCACAACAGCATATTTGAACCCAAAACATCCATAGTAGGTAGATACAGAAATGAGTGTGAACATTAGTGGTGTGGGAAAGAACGTACCAAAACCCCACACTCGAACTGTAAAACAAAAGAAACTAATAAAAAATCAAATAATAATAAAAGCTTCAGAAAAAAGAATAAGAGTACAAAAACAAACAAGGACAACAAGCATACAGACAATAGACAGGACAAGAGATAAAGAGACACAGACTTACAAAAGGAGTGGGGGGGCATGATGGGGTGGAGATTCCAGTTGCACAATAATTAGAAGGTTGTCAGTCAAAACATGTTTAATTAATCTGCTGAATACTCATCAGTCTAATTGTAGCCCATTTAATTGCTTCACAAAATTAACAAAACTATCCCAAGTCCTATGAAAGTTCAGAAGGGTACCATTTACAGAATATCCGATCTTTTCCAATGTAAGATTAGACATAATATTACGGATGAGGTGAGTATGGGTGGGTGGAGCAGCATTGTTCCAGTTCAGCAGTATCAACCGCTGTGCCAATAAGGAGGAGAATGCCTTCTGATGTCGTTTCAATCCTGACAAAACTTCCAGACATAATCAAAAATATTTATTTAAAAGTCTAAGTTTTCTTTTCCTCTTGAACTTTGCTGTCCGTCAGCGGATGGAGACCCTCATTTTGTGGTGGAGTTCCCGCTCAGTAAACTGACCGTTTGCTTCAACATCAACGGAGAACCGGGACATGTCCTTCGCCTCGTCTCTGACCACAAGTACTCAGGTGAGACTCGAATCCAACATCCTCAAAAACCCCTCACACATCTCAAAACTTTGTCTTCTGAGATTTCTCTGGCTCTTGTTTTTTTTTTATTACTCTTATTTTACTGAAGAACCCGTCGAACATATATCTGTATGTCTCAAAACTCAAAAAAAGTTGTGAAAAAAAAGATTTCTGTGGCTCTTTTCCGTCCCGTGTGTTTCCCAGGTGTGACGGTCAACGGCAAACTGATCGGCGCCCCAGCTCCGCCGGGCAGCCACAAGCAGCAGCGCACGTACTTCAGCACCATCACCATCGTGGTGGATCGTCCCAAGCGCGCCTACATCGAAGTGACGCCGAAGAAGGTCATCCTGGACGGGCGGGACAGGATGGTGCTGCCGTGTCACTCCACGGTCTCGGTGGACAGCGGCGTCCTGTCCGTGTCCATCACGGGGAAGTCCAACGTGACGGTGACGGTCGGCGGGAACATCAGCTTCGTCATTTTGCTGCATCAGTACAAAAACCCCGCCCCCTATCAGAGAGACCACCTGGGCTTCTACATCGGGCAGAGCAAGGGGCTGTCGCACAGCTGCCACGGCCTGCTGGGTAGGTGGCGGTGGGTGAAACTACGGAAGCCCTGAGTGGACATACATACTTTTTAACACCTTTCATTCTTCTTTCAGGTCAGTTCCTGTACGAGGAAGTGGGCGTGGCCGAGCTCCCCGCAGACGGCGACGCCAAGCCCTCGTCCGTCCTGAAGGTGAAGGATCGCGCCGTGCCCGTGGTTCAGAAGAGCCGGAGGATCTACAGCGGGACTCAGAGCGTGGACTGCTGGTTCGCGCGCAACAACGCCGCCAAGCTGATCGACGGACAGTACGAGGACTATTTGATGTCGCACATGTTCGACACGGGCGACTGGCCGCACGGGACGAACAGAGTGTGAGACTGTATGCTCACTCAATTTAATAAAAAAAATGTTTTTATTTGTTTATCACATCGAAACTTCAACTTCCCTCCAAAAAAAAAAAAAAAAAAACAGTCACTTTTGAATATATTTTTGTACCATGTCTAATGAACATTTAATGTTTTTTATTATATGTGCATTATTTTTTACTGTCATTTTGAAATTGTAAATAAAACCGTAATTTTAGGTCGTTTTGTCGCTAAAATAATTGACCTTTCACTTCAGTCGGCGAAAATATTTGTGATGTTTCTCCTAAATTCCAAATATGTACGTCAACATGTCCTGAACGTGGCAACCCTCAAGTTGAAGCTCACACCTGGTTACCGTAGAGACAGCCCCGCTAACTCACCCCCCCCCCGTCCCCACAGCAATGACTACATGCAAACTTGACACAGAACACACACACACACACACACACACACACACACACGGCTGTGTAGTCCCCCCTGTCATCAGCTGGAGGTCACAGGGCTGCTGGCCCCGCCCACACAGGTGTGCTCTGGCCAGGTCCCTCTCAGGCCGTCTGTCATCGCGCCGCCTCGCCCGGGCCAAAGCAGGAATTCAACACTGACGCTCAGGTTCATGTGTCAATCATCTTTATTCAGATTAAAGAGAAGCACCGCGGCGGTTTGACACATGATTTAAATTCATTTTATAATAAAAAAAAATAATAATACATCAGAATACAAAATATTACACATGAAATATGTCAAACCTTTAAACTGTCAATGTTATCAGGGACATGGACGTATTGTGATGATAAATATACAACATACATTTGAACTCAGGCGGAATAAAAACCTGGTTCTCGATTGGTTCTTCACCTTTGCCTTCAAGTCGACTCTTAAAAATTCTCTCATTTTTTTTTAAACTCGCTAGAAACGTTCGATTCCGATGTCGTCACCACAGACTGGAGCACGATATAAAAAGGCAAGTACAGATAAAATATCTGAGTAATAAATAAAAGAAATGTGCCGAATGCAGCTACACAGCTAACGCGTCCTTCCACTGAAAGAAGAAGAGCTAGGATGGAATATCTGGACCGTTCTTAAAGGGAAAATAACATTTTCAGAATAAAGTCATTCTGTCATGAAAGGACCAAGAGCTTGTCGTTTTAAATATTATCACACGCTTATGCATGCGCTCAAGATTGGAACTACTTTGCCATTTCTGTCCGACGAAGCTGAAGGAATAGCCTCGGCAATAGCTTGCCTTTCCACAGACAGCCTGCTGCCTCTGTACAAAAGGCAGGATGTTCATAAAGTCACTACTCACAGCAAAGATAAAGTCCTGTGTAACGCCCCGTTTAACCTCAATTTGTCCTTTTTACTCTTTACATTTATGCAGGTTTAACAAGAGAGATATAATGTGCTAGGAAGTGAGCTACAAACAAGCTAACAGGTAGATACGAAGCCAGGCTAGCTGTTCCCTGGAGTATCATAAACTCTGACGTCAACCTTTTCCATCTTTCCTCGTTATGATCCCAAACATTAGTCTTAAAATGTCAACGTTTCCCCTTCAAAAGTGGCTCCAATAATCCATCAAACACATCATAGTGTCTCCTGCTCCTTTAAACCAAAAACATGATTTATTTTCTTAAGACAGGAACTCAAACTTTCCTCAGCTGCAATATTTCCAACTTTCTGGTCCGTCATGGCAAAAAACTAAAACATCTGTGGGCCTTTAATAAAACCATTAACCACCTTTGTAATCCGCCAAAGGGCGAACGTGTCGGAATGACTGTAATTAAAAAAAAAAAAAGTGGATTTAAAGTGTTGATAGTAAAATCTTTGAGCACCTGTTTATATAAATGACACGTTTGCTCTTCTTTGGAATATGATACATGATCTCTTAAGACGAACATCACTTCTTAAAAAGCCGCCCCTCCCTCAGGGTGCTCGTCTTTCTGCACATGCTCAGTTGTGGTTTTTTTCCCCCTCTGATGTTCTCTTGGAGCTTCACAGCAAGGTGAGCGGATAAAGAGCTCGTCATTCTACAAACAGCTCGTTTGATTTAACATGCAAACACAGACTGACGCTCCGGTCGTACCGTCAGCGCAGAGGAAGTCCAGCTGAGGCTGTAGAGTTCACGCTCACAGGTTCAATGATCTTCAGTTTGTGCCTTTGCTTTACAAGGACGCAGATATTAAGACCTTCAGGATGCATCATGTTTGTGGTTGTTTTTTTTGCTCTCAGGGGGGTTTAGTGTGTGGATGGAGGATGGACGGGTAGGAGGTCATGTCACCTGGGTTTTCCTTTTTTTTTTTTTTACACCACCACCCAGCTGGGTCTCAGTGGTCCTCCAGAGTACTGAACATGAGGGAGGGGCCCCATATCATCGGAGTCTTCTTCACCCTCTGAAGCCTCGTCTGTGTCTGTGTCGATGGTCAGAAGGACCTGAGAGACCAGAAGAGGAAAGTAGCATAGTTACCAAAGTTTAATGTTTTTGTATTTTACACAACATGGGAGCATTTTTGTAGCCGACAACGCAGCGACCAGTATGTCCTCCTTCTATGTTTAGATTCTGGTCTTCAACGGTCTGGATGTGTTTTGGACGCCCCTCTTTTTGCCGAGCAAACTGCAAACCAACAGATGTTGCAAAGAAGGAAGCGGGAAAGTAACGGATTCTACCCGACCTAAAAAGCCTCAACTTTTTCTAATAAGCTCCAAAGCTGGCTAAACACTGAAGCTTCCTAATCTGAGACACGGCAACCTGCATTCTCTTTGACTCTAGGGAGGAGTCGGCTTCTTTCTGCATGCATGCACTACCAAGCTGAGTGGTTATGAAAGTAGTTTAAGAAACATTAAGAAGAGTAATGAAGAAGACAGAAGATAGCCACTTTACCAAGCTTCTTTTTATTTTTTTCCCCTTTAGCTCTGATTCAACGTTTTTGATTTAAGGCTGTGAAATATCTCAGCTCTGCATTCCCAGCCTCTGCAGCAGCAGCAGGGATTCAAATCTCAAAGGAGCTCAATTCCATCCTATATGACATTTACAGCTTATAAACCATATGTTGCTTTCTGTACGAGGCCGACATGTGGGAAAGTTGAGACTACTTTAGAGCTACAGAGTTGGACAATGGGTGAACGACAGAGACGGCAGCCTGCACAGTTCTTCTTACAGTTAATCAACTTTAGGTTGAATACCAGACTGTGATCTGACAACAACAGCAGCATTGTGACTTTAGTTGCGGCCGACCACCCCCAGCAAGACCTCCTCATCTAAATCAATGCGTCTCTCTCTCTGCTGTCGTCCTCCTCCACTTCACTCTGCTTTCCATAACATCAGCGCGTGGAAAAGACTCCTAAATGTCACTTTTATTCCCGGGAAGAAGGCTTGATTTATGGCTGCCCGGCAGACGAACAGAGAGAAGAATAGAGGGGGAGGGAATCGTTCTGATAATCTGTGGGTTCAATCTTTGCTAAGAGAGCGAAGAAAAAAAAAAGAAAATGATCGGGGCTTCTGTGCTGTGAGGAGGAGGAGGAGGTTGTCATCAGTCCAGATAAACCAGCATTTAACTCAAAACTCACACAGAGTCTGATGTAACGGGTCGGCTCTGGGATGAGCGGTTGATGTATACACTACACGCTCATCAACATATCTCACATTTTCTAGTTGCCTTTAAAAAAAGATAGAAGAAAAGAGGGGCTTCAGTCATTATTAAAACTGTTAAATGTTAAGAAGGTTTGTCCCTTTTTTAAGATTTCTAGGCTTAAATAAACTAAATTACTTTCCTTACATCGATAAGAAGTTTTAGGAATGATGGAAAAACACATTCAAAGTACATTTAACTTGAAAATTGGCTCAAAAGTACGACAATGTGAACTTTACATGTGTCCAAAAACTGATTACTGGGAGTTCTGCAAAAGGCTCAAAATGAGATTGAATCCAAAAACAACAGAAACGAGGAAAAAAAAAAAAAAAAATACAGGAAAGGAATGCAAGAAATTCTAATTTCCCAAATGCATCATGTAAACAGTAACGAGGGGACGACAGAGAAGACGGAGTGTGACTCAGTTTTTCTTGGACTGGACTCCTCTGGGTTTTTTTTTTGTAAACCGAGTGTAGAGAGAGAAAAATCCTTCTGCTTTATTTTCATCCCTCAAAAACAACAGGTGTTGTCGACACACGGCGTGACTCAGACGTTAACGCCAGTGTTTCACTCTTTAAACCCTCTCAGAGCACACTGCTCAGATTTCAACAATCAGGAAGTACGTTCAAATGATATTGTAGACATCAAACACAGAATTGAGATTATTGTCTGTGTAAAAAGAGAAACAATTATGTGGCCCTTTTTTTTTTTTTAAGCAGACTTTTACCATCCCGAGAAACTTTTACTGCATGTGTAATTTCAGCCAAAGTCATGAGTTTGAGTTTATTAGCTGATATTATCTCCAGTATGAGACACATTATTTTATTAGTCTTACAACTACAGATTGAAGTCATAAAATCATGAGGAAAATGTTTACCGAGGTAAGAAATCAAGTAGAAACAGGGTAATTTTCTCAGACTCCTATCAAATCGCCCCCCCCCTGGTGGCCATTACAAAGAATGCAGGTTGAAGGCACTTCAGCATTTATTTTTGAAATCAGACTCAAGTGATTCTCACCCGAGACTCCTCGCCGTTCAGCGAGTCGGCCTTCTTCACCGAGTCGTCGAACGAGTCGTCCAGGCTCTTCATCGTCTTGAACTTCCTCATCATCAAGCTGTCCACGACCCAGAACATGATGGACTGCAGGGGGAGCCAGAGAGACGAGACCAACAGTTACAAACACCATAAAGAGTAAAGACTGGACTAAATATTTTATAAAAGTGGATCGATAAAGGAAGCAGAACTCACGTTGACGATGAACGGCACGATGAGCATGACCAGCAGCAGCTCCACCTGAGGGTTAGCGATGTAGCTCAGCAGCACCTCCTGCAGCTGGAACAGGAAGGGGAGGAGTTTAACATCCTTACTTTATAAAATATGACATTACCAAAGGAAAAAGTTGACTGAAGTACGGTGGCTAAGAGTCATCTTTTTAGAAAGATAATGTTCAAAACAACAATTTGTCAAATAGCATGAAGACGATCTTCAAACAAATCAAGTTAAATCATGAAAATAAAACACGAGGGGCTTTTCAAGATAAACTCATTCTATCAGGACGTAAATAAATACAAAGAAATAAACAATTAGGCAAAAGTTGTAGACATTTTAACAAACACATTTTAACCTCAAGGTCATGTAAACAAGCTTCCTTCAGAAACATTCACATTGACTCATAGCCTATTTTTTTATTTTTTTTCCGTCTGCTTGTTTATCCTTTCTTGTCTTAATGACTTCCGCCTCGTATTCCCGCCAGAGAATTTAACACAACAAAGCAAACAAGACCAGAAATAGATTTTTACATTCGCTTGGACTCGCCAGGGAGGAGTTCGACTACGTGTGAATTTGTTCCTGTGGTTTGACGAGACAAACCCTGAGAAAATCTACGAGAATTCCCCTCAAGTATCAGAATTCAATTCAACTTCATTTGTAAAGCACATTTCATACAAACGTAAACTCAATGTGCTGTACAGAAGAATTAAAAAAAACAAAAAAAAACAATACAATCTCATTTAAAATAACAAACAAAAATAATAATGATAGTAAATGAACAAGTGGATTCAAGAGCTCAATTTAAACCAAGACATGTTTGTAAAAGGAGCATGCACCATCCCATACAGCACAGACAGCGCTCACAGGGACCATGCACCAACCATATGTACACACACACACACACACACACACACAGTGTGTAAGACAAACTAGCAACCAAAGACCACACATCTTTCCCACAGTCCCCCGGACCTTATGGACCCTACAGGTTACCGTAGTGTACAGTACGGACTACATTCCTGGGCTTGTATTTAGTCATTTAAAAACGTGTCTCTTGTCTGAACGCTGCTGTGTGTGTTTGTTGTGGCTTCCTTAAACGACTCGATACGCTGTGAAACACAATCCCTTTTCTGGGATCATTCAAGTCGTCTGATTCTGAATCTGAAAGCGTCACAAGTAACGGGTATATTCTCCTTACTTTGGACCACCCGGGGACGAGCAGCACCAGGCTGATCACTCCTTTCTCCAGCACCATGATGAGCAGGTAGATCCCACACTGACCGAGCCACGCCGCCGCCTGAGGAGGGTCACCTGGACGAGGAGGGGAAGCGTAAAATGTTTCCTGTCAACCACATCCTGTTATCTCTGCTGATATAAATGCGAAGAAATACCCAAACTAAATATCTCATTTTGTAAAAATGCATTTTCAGTCTTTGTGGTCAGAAGTCTTATAAAAAGGTCGCTCCTCTGCGTCTTCAGCAGGATATTTAAATAGTCTTTCAGAAAGCTGTGTGACACAGGTGTCTCACCACAACACACAAACAGGACGACAGGTGTGTCATTAAGACAGGAAGAAGGGAGGAGGAAGACACGCTGGGACCGACGGATGGAGAGAGAGAAAGAGGAAGGAGAAAAAAAACAAAAAAGAAATCTTGACTTCAAGGTGTTTCTGGATAAATCATATTTACATTCACCTCTTCTTTCTTACTATCTGAATAAGATTTGCTTCAAAACAGAAAGAGAGAATCAAACAAACTCGACGTGCATCAGAAGAAAGCTCTGAGTTTGAGATCTCAGCACTGGGGTGAAATTGGAGATTTTCCCGTCTCTCTGAATAAAAAAACAACAGGGTGAGGGAGTGAGTGTAATAATTGGCGTTGAGTTAATCCCACTGTGAAGCAACTGGGAATCTTTTCCAGGTGGGGCTGCAGCTGGAGATGCTGGCTCTCCTCCCTCTCTCTCAGAAAAACCTCCAGTGACTCTATAGCGCCCTCCAGTGGTGGACCCGCAGAACTGCATCTACTCTTAATTTAATTTCTAACTTCCCCCATGCATTTTTAAATCTACAAATTTAATTCAAAAAAGGATTTTCTCACCATATTCTCCGAACATGAGCAGAGTCCAACACTTGTACTCCACCAGTTTGGACGTCAACTTCACAGCGAGCCAGATGACCAGCATCCCCAACGTGGCGTCCAGCAGAAAGTTCATAAGATATCTATGAAGGGATTCAAAAAAATAAAGAAGTGAATAAAAAGCTCCGGTTAAGTGTGACTTAATGCATTCTGATGGATAAACTCACAGGGAGCATGGGTCCTCTTCGGTGAGCGTGGACAGGAAGACGTTGGCAAAGTGAATGAAAAGAGCGCCGATGGCCTGCTTAGACGTGTCAAAGAACCTGAAAGAGCCAGCAGGAATTTTCCACTGTTAGTAATTCTGTTTGAAGTCATGTTTACACATCTTTCACACAAAAACATAATATCAAAAAGCTACAAAAAAAAAAAAAAAGGGGATTTTTTTTTTTTCTAAGGACATCTGAAGATTTTGATTTTCCAAATTGGTTCATTTCAGTTTATTATTGTGTCATACATCCATTACATGACACCATAAATTAAAAACATTCCCGGATCAGAGTGCACTAGGTAAGCTATATTCATTCTCAAGAAACAAAAAGAGAAATCAAGAAGTCAAACTAATCAAACAGAATATTCTGTCTTCTTTTCCAAGCATTTGAAACAAAATGAGCAAGTTTAAACACATCAAACTTAAACAGCCCATTCCAGTTTCTGCACATCTGTCCGCCCCAGTATGAATATGCAGTAATCCTGCACAGTAATGACAGTTTCATCAACTTTTTCTTCAGTTTCACAGCCTTGATTCATCTCTGCACGGGGGATTAAATGAAAGGATGTGATGCGGGGTGAAGGTAGAAGAGGGGGAGAGAGAAAAGAAGAGAAGTGTTTCTGACCAGATCCTCCACGGGCGTCTGATCCCCACAGGCTCCCGGAACCTCTTCACTGCAGACACACACAAAGTAAAGCAATGAATCACTTATGTTCCAGCTGGACTTGTGTTTATCCTGCACAACAACAACAACATGTTTCAGTTTCTTTCTTTGCAGTCAGTTTGACTCTCTGCGGGGCTAAAGCGAGGACAGACGACACGCGGACGATCACGCATGTCCTCGTTTTGCACAACTCTTCAAATCCTCCTCCGCCGGGCTCAGGACAAACAAGACGCCCACTGTTCCTCTATCTCGTCCATCTCACAAGGTCAGAGAATGTGACTCGCCATGTGAACACACAGGATCGAGGCGCCAGACAGATGTGTTTTATATCTGGTTTGATTTAATAAATATCTATGTATTAATATATTTAATACAGAATGAGAAAGAAAAATAACTTTACAGTCAGAGGAGGATTGTTCACTTTTCAGACATTAAAAAAACAAGTTCCCCTCAAAGCATTCACCAAGAGAAAGCTGTCAGTGATCTCTGATTTCTATTCTTCTTGGCATACGACCACGTTATCATAGTCGAAGGGCCCTTAATGCTCGGCTGCACTCAAATAATGTGGAGTAAATATTAACATATGCATGATGTGCTTTGACCAGGAGCGACACTCGTGTTGAGAGCAGGAACGAGGAGGAGGAGGAGGAGGGGGAGAGAGAGAGAGGAGCGGCTATCGATTTCTCCACTAATAAGTAACTGAGTGGAGGTTAGAGCTCATTGATCTCACTCAGCCTGAAGACCTGCGGCCTGATTCTGCAACACCTCATTGCTCTCAACGCTGCAGCTTGATTAGCTGATGAGATCAACACGACTGCATTGACCTTTAAAAGCTGCACTTTAATTATCAGATCATACGGCAACACACTGATGAAACATCGATAAAACACCCGGCGCACAGGCAGGCGTTTGTGTTCTTCCCTTTTAGCATTAATTCAACCCAGAAAACAAAAAACATATTCAGCAAGAATCAAACTTTTCTATCAAAGTAGAACGAAAGTCTTGCGATTTATCCGCTCCACAAATGGATCGTGCTGCTCTCAGAGAAGGAGCTTAAGACAGGATCCAAAGAAATCACTGAAGGAAAATGTTGATTTAAGGTGCAAAGGACGAACGTTTGTATGCACTGCTGCGTCTCCCATGATTCCCCGCCAGCCTAAACGTCATCTTTTGTTATTGTTTTGATTGAAAGCCCCCTGGTGGTTGAATTTACACACTGTGCCTTTAAGACAAAGATAAAAAGACAAAAGATTAAAAAAAGCTAATTTAATTTGCTTGGGTTTAAGTTTCCACACTTATTTCTGTGCAATAATTTGGATATCAAAATGAAGCATGGACAATTTATATCGTACTAAAATGAATGTTATCACAGAATATTCATGGAAACTAGTTTTTTAAAAAATGGATGCAGTTTCCAATGTTGAAATGTGTCAACACCTTTTAGAAGCAGCTGCTGCAGAAACACAAAACCTCATCTGTGCAGCCAAAACTGATAAGATGCACAACACATTCTCCAAGTCATCTGCCTCTGATTCACACACCATTCATCAGTCACTAGAGTCATATGGTGTAAATAAGGAGCATCTTGTTTTGCTGTTAAAGTAAAAACACTCAGGGAAAGACGCTGTATATGCTGACATGTTTCTACTGAAGCTGCATGCATTGTGAAACTACTGCCAGCATGTGTTTCATGATTAAAAACAGAAAGATATGAACGATGTCAAGTTTTTTTTTTTCTCCATAAAATCATGTCATGATCCTAAAACAGAAGCTCATGTTCTGTTTGGTGCAGAGGAGTGATTAATTCTGACTATGTTTGTGGCAATAGTGTAGAACAACATAAATTAATTTCACATTTTATATTAGAGCACATAATTCAAAACGAAATGTATGACAAATGTTTGAAAAAGTATACTATATCAGCATATCTACATTTTTCAGTGGAGTTTGGTGCAAGGCTAATTGGGCTCGGCATAATCAATTAACTGAAATTCATACTTAATGTTTTAAGTTAACAGCACATAATGAAGCCGAATTTCAAATGGACCCTTCATTATTCAAGAAAAGTTTGAAAAATGTTAAATTTGAGTATGTTGCCCTTTGAATAAGCATGGCAACATTTACCTACTGAGTAAGGAGACCCCGTTTAATCAATTAACAAAATGACCAAAATTCCTTCATAAACGTTTTTCTAAAGTGCACACAGGTGATGCCGAAATTAAAACAGATACAAGTTTTAGCCAACAAATGTATAATAATGTTATGTTTGCGTTTGTTGTCTACTGAACAAGCTGGGCGACATTAAAATAGCATATTTGTGAATGGAGTTTGTTAAAACGCTAATTGGGCTCGGCATAATCAATTCACAACATAACTGAAATTTATACTTAATGTTTTAAGTTAACAGCACATAATTGAAGCCGAATTTCAAAGGGACTCCTCATTATCCAAGAAAAGTTTGAACAATGTTAAATTTGAGTATGTTGCCCTTTGAACAAGCATGGCAACATTTACCTACTGAGTAAAGAGACCCCGTTTAATCAATTAACAAAATTAATTCATAAAAGTTTACTTAAGGGCACACAGGTGACGCCGAAATTAAAACAGATACCCATTTTAGCCAACAAATGTATAATAATAATAAATTCGCGTTTGTTGTCTACTGAACAAGCTGGGGAACCTTAAAACAGCATATTTCTGAATGGGGTTTGGTGCAGAGGTAATGCGTCCCCGCAGAAACAAACGTCAACAAAACGCCACGTGGAGAACGCTACCTTTTTGAAAGCGCGTTTCGATAGTTGTTGTTTTCCTCGTTCAGAATAAACACAAAACACATGCGTGATGTTGTGCAGACGGGTCAGACACTCACACATCAGCGTGCTGAAGGCCACGATCGCCAGGAGTCCCTGGATCAGGACGCCGAACCTGTCCGTCAAAGCTCCGTTGTCGCAGCCGTGGGGATTCGCCTTGTTGATGTCAGACATGTTCGTCACCTCCAAGTCTCCACTGTCCGTGAATCTCTTCACCAAGAAGAGCCCGCTGTATCCGTACATGTCCATGTTGACGCGGTGAAAACAACACAGCTGTTCGAGACAAAAGGAGCTCCCGCTGCGGCAGGTAAACGAGGACGTCACCTTCTCTTTCTGAAAAGAGCAGAGTTTATTTTATTGCAGTAATTTATCCTTCGTTGAGTTCTCCTTCAAGTCGTCCAGGCTGGTGTCACATTTATTGATGCAAAAACAAGACTGCAGGAGCGGCTTTCTGACTCACGTCCATGTTTATGTCCACGAAAAACTGTCAAGCTGCGTCAAAGGTGCAGTGCAACTTCCGGTTAAACCTTCAAAATAAAAGGCAGCAGCTGAAAGCAATTAAACGTTTGGGCAGACAATCTGTGAGTGAAAGGCTGTTTTACAACGCTTAGTACTATTTTAAGTTTTCATTTAATCTTCAGGTCAGACCACAATCTAATTAGCTCTATCTTCTTGTTAAGACTAATTAAAATCTATTGTGGCGTGATGTAAACAACACAACTTCAGAAGGTCAACACTTTTTTATCTTTTATTTTTTATATTCAGGTCTAATTACAGATTTTTTTCCTCAACTGTTTATAGGTTCTTGTTTAAATCTCACATATATTTTTATCCCTGCACGGGTTATGTACATTTCTTGTATAAATCTATTTTTAATTGCACAGTTTAAGTTTGATTCATCTAGGGGGATTCTTTAAATCTTTTTTTCGGGTTAGTAAATATGTATGGGAGGGGGGGCGTTGGTTTTGTGGTTAATTTGTAACAAATGTTTCATGTCATGTACGTCTTTGTAACCTGCTACTGGATGCTTTGAATTTCCCTCTGGATCAGTAAAGTATCTATCTATCTATCTGATAACAATTTATTGTATTTCATTTCACAATATTTAAGACTAAGTATGAATAAAAAGTAGATTTAAAGGATTCTGCATTATTCCAAACCAGAATAAAAAATGAGAAATATGCAGTCAAAGTTTAAACAGCTATGGGTGGATAGACACTGAAAATCAGAAATTATTATGAATGCAAAGATGACAATCGCCGCAGCATGTCTCCACATTTATTAAAATATAGTACAATAAACATATATTCTATTCAAACAAGAAAAAAAAATCTAATTTGGTTAACAACCCCAAAAGCAAACCACAAATCTGCCCTGCAACATCTCCATTCTTTAGTTCTCTTGACTTTTTTTTCTCCAAGCTTTTATTTTATACACAACCTGACCTGACTTCCGGTTGAAGTGACGCGAACGTCTGAGCAGCAGAATTCCTAGAATGTGCGTATACTCATACTCAATACATGAGGCTGTATTTGTAGAGAGGAAGAGAAGGTTCAGGTGACGGGACTGCTCACTAAATTAATCTGATTTAGGCCAATTTAGAGACTTTAGAGGATTAAATACCTGAACCCGGACAGGTAGGCACAGAGCCAAACATCCAGGCCTCCGGGATCCACTTAAAGAGGAGCTGCTTAGTTAAGAAGATACTTTAAGAAACTCACATAACAGCATTTATTCTCACCTTAATTAGCCAAGCAAATGCTCTGATTCTGCCTGAAACGAAATCATTTAAAATCCAGATCAGCCTCGTTAATTAGATCAATCAACACATTATATTTGCATGTGATTATGCTTCATATAAAAACAGAAGTTATGGATATAAGCACAGCTGTGAAAAGAGTAGCCTTTAAGTGTTTGGTTTGTAAGCATATATGGCTCTACCTCCCACTCCCATCTGAGTACAAAAATGACAAAATTCTAAAAGGGGGTTTGGTTTGGAGATGTCACTAAGCTCTAACTGAGTCTGTAGACCAAAGCCTGAGGGCACAGTCACATTCCCACCAGACATACTGACACATATCAACATTTATGTACAGTAACTGGCAACAATAAACTCTCCTTTAGCTCTAGCTAAGTCTGAAAGTTTCAGTGTGTCTCATTAGCTTAAACAGAGCAAACCAGACCCCTTTAAAAAAAAATCTGCTATTTTCTGAATATTGCATTCAGCCATACAGAGTCGAGATTTTGGATTCAAGCTTTGGCAAATAAAAAAAACATCTTAATCCAACAAAATGCATTGATAACTAGTTCTGTAAATATCCACGACACTTTCATGCTTCATCAAAGGGCTTTTTGACTCTTTTTTGGCACACTGTATGCCACTGCACTACACAGATACTGTCTGAGACACTTTACTTTATTGTTATATATATATATATATATTCTGTACATATATTCTAGTTTTATTTAAACTTTTGGTTCTTAATTGCACTGTACGTTGTTACTCTTTTTACTCTTATCTTCTATACTATTTTTTTTTTTGCATTGTTAAGGAGAGCTTGGAACACAAACATTTCATTGCCAGCTATGACTGCTTTGCCTGTTATGTTGTTGCATTTGACTAATAAAGATAACTTGAACTAACTTTAAATGACGCTTGCGTCCAGAAACGTGTTTGTTTTTGTTGTAGACGGAATAAAATAAAAATGTCCTCTGCCTCGTGCAGGGAGGCTGCGGGCTCATGCACAGGTCGAGCGTGTGTGTTATGTGTGTATGTTGTAAAGTGTGTGTGTGTGTGTGTGTGGGGGGGGGGGGGGGGGTGCATAATCCTTTCTCTCGCGCTCGGAAAGCCTCTTCTCTGGCAGATTAATGGGGCACGGCGCACGCTCCAACCATCTGTTCCTCCAGCGGCATCGCAGCGACACGAGCAGCCTCTTCATCTCCAGAGTCTCTATAGGAGATTCTTTTGTGTTGGTCTCTATATGATTCAGAAAATAATACAACACTGAACACACTCACTCAGCACAACTTCCCGTTACAGGCGTCAAAATAAAGCCACAGTTACAGTTCCTACCAACGCGTCAGTTCTTGTCACTGGAGTTGTTTCTGACTTGTTGGTGACGTTTTGAGGTTTAACTTTTCTGGCTTGTGCTTCCCCAAAATAAAGCTCCATATCAGGAACAGAATATAAATGTTTTGCTTGAGGCTTGAAGACGTGATTTATTATTGTTTTGTTTCCTGTTTCTGTAACGACCTGGTGACCCCTCAGACTTTGGGGGACCCGTGAGGAAACAATATGCTTTAAAAACCTTGATGTAGGCATATATGTGTCTTTCAGATGATTTTTTTTGTTGCTCATGTTTTCGTCTTTATGTCATATTTATCTGTCTTTCTTTATACATTTAAAGAATCCTGCAGATTGATTCCTACCAGATGAAAAATTGACTAAGAAAACCTCTTTTAAAAAAACTTTCCTCTCTTCGATTTCTCGATTTTCTAAAAATGGGATCCTGTCATGTGAAACCTAGACCAACGTAGGCAAACATAATAGTATGCCAGAGTGTTTTATCTATATTAAAGTTAATGTGATCAAATGAGAACTTCTGGCATCTGAGGTTCATGCACATTGGCGAAAGCAGGGGAAACTTTCAGGGGGATTTCCACTTAAATATGATGCGTAATCAGGCCAGCTCAGAAATCCAACAGACGGGCTAAACTTCCAGGAAGATGATCCTTTAATATGTTTTCTTACAACGATCCTCGTGTTGTTTCGGTTTGCTTTCTGTCGGCAGAAGTTGTATTTCCATCCCCCCCAAGTATTCTGATTGGTTCGGTGCCAAAAAAGCGTCCACACAGATTATTTATACCTTCATATGTGGAAATAACCTGCATCTACTGCATGTGGTGTAAATAATCGGTCTCATATAAAGAGGACTTAATGGAGATATAGACCTTTGAACTGCACGCCATGATTATTGGAAATGGTAAAAATGCTCTGTTATACCACTAGAGGATACTGTTGACTTTGAGAAGAGATGAAAAAAACAGTCTCAGGCGATTTCTCAAGAGCTGTTTGAGACAACAAATTGCCAAATAAAATTGCCCAATGGAACAGAATGAACCACTCAAAGGGCAAATGCTTTAACAGCAGTTAGAAATGATTGACTTTAGAGCATTATTCACGCACATGGAGCAGGCTATGTTAAGGGGAGGTTGGGTTTTTAAGCTAAATTTAAATGTTTTTTATTACATATTTTTCTTGTATAACAATTTAAACTTTGTTTTTATGATAATTTGAGAATATTTGCCTCGTAGTGCTATTTTAAAAAACATTAGGTAACGAGAAAATGGTTCACAGATTGAAAACAAAACTGCCTGTCATCACACATATTACACTGGTTTGATGAAATATTGCCTAACAAGAAGCCAGACTAATATTTGATTAGATATTCCAATGTTTTTTTTAATATAAATAAAATGTTTGGTTATGTAACAGACATTTTCCTCTGTTTTGGTTTTGTAGGCGTCTCTGTAGTTCCCTATTTTTATATCAGGCTGAAGAAACACTTTTTTTTTTCTGCTGCACTAAAAAAAAAAAGGTCCGTGAAGGAGTTGGCTTGAAAATATCTGTAGATGTTTTTTTCGGACATGCGCAGATGGGCGATGCCATATTGGAACAGGGGCAGCAAGCAAGCAAGCAAGCAAGCAAGCAGCTGAAAGACGTCGCTCGCGTTGCTTTTGCTCGGACGAGGAGAAGAGAGAGAGAGAGGAAGAGAGAGAGAGAGGGAAAAAAAACAGAGGGGGTCTGGTGAAGGAGAGACGACAAGAAACTTGGACAGGTAAGGACAGGTGACGGCTCTGGCGCGCTGTAATTAACAGCTTTCACCGGGGGGAGAGGACGCTGTGTTGTGGCACTCGTGGTAAAACGCTTTATTGTGTTGTTTTCTTCCACTGTTCATGCTTTTTTATGTCACTAATTGTCTTGTTTAAAAGCTGAATTTTACTATTTTACACGAAATACAGTTTAAATGTCGCGTTAAGGTGGTTTTTCTATAACGACGCAATTTTGTTTTTACGCAAACGCGAAGTTGTCCTCGGCGTTCAGCGGGTAAAATGACTTATTGCTGTCATTCGTCTTATTATGAGTCACGTGGGATTTTTTTCTCGACACCCTTTTGGTTGCGTGAAATCCACTGGAAAATACCGGACACTGCCAAAAAATGTCAAAAACCCACTTTCAACATGGCGGGTTATGGTGTTTCGAGGAGGGGGGGGGAGAGAGAGAGAAACTGCGCCTTCAAAATCTTTGAATGAGGAAAAAATACAACGACGGCAGATAGCGTGTCCGGTTCGGTTTCTTTTGATGGACAAGCACGGGGTGTAATCAATTAGATTCAAAGTGTGCATTGGGCGATTCCGTGGGAGTTTTTTTCCGCTGCAGTTTTGGAGTGTGCAAAGTACATGACCGGAGTGGCAGCCTTGCCTTGCCTTGCCTGCTGCTTCGGCTACACCCCTCATCAGCCTCATCTTCCTCATGTGCACTTCACGTTTCCTCTTTCACTTTTAATCCAAAAAAAAAAAAATGACCGAGCTCTCTCTAAATCTGTTTTTACATCGAATTTTTTTAAAACACTCATGACGATATTCAAATAACCAAAAACCCACCACAGAGCAGGATCGCTTCTTTCACGCCACATTTTGCGACCGTTTCACACTCGGACTGGTTATTTCCCTTCAGTTTATTGTGTCTCTTTTGGGGGTAAATTCTGCACTGATTAAGCAGATAATTGGATTAAGCCGCGCGTATCTGTTTAATGATTTCTCTTCTGGATTGTAAATCCGGGTTTTTTTTGTTGTTTTTTTTTACAGCTTTTGTATTATTCCCGGATTCTTCCCTCCCAGATTAAATTCGTCACCATAATGAACGGAAACAATAAAAGACTGCACGTTATGGACGCTCATGTGCACTGAATAAATCATGCTTCAAGACTTCTTGTTGCTCCACATATGTATTTATATTTCCACGGAGCTGAGCAGAAATAGCCAACTGCACTTACAGTACACTAATTATGAAAAATCGCCTTCAAGGGGGCCTGAGCTGTCAACAGAGGAAGATCCATTCTGCTTTCTTCTTGGTTGCACATCGTTGTTGGTTTTGTTGGCTTTTTTCTTACAAACCACACAACGGCCATTTTTCTTTTTTTTTTTTTCATCATGCTCTGTTGTGATAAGGCATTGTGTGTTAATCTGTGTTGTGAATGTTTGTGCAGAAAGACAATCAGGGAAACAGACAGAGGAGGAGTCAGAGCAGGAAGTAATGAAGTCAGGATCTATACTTTTCTCTCTTTCTTCACTCCCTCCTCTCTCTCTCTTTATTCTCTCTCTCTGTCTTTTTCTTCTCTCTCTAACTTTCTCTCTGTTTTTCTGTCCTTCTGTCTTCCTTGTCCACCTTCTTCCTCCAGTCTTCTTTATTTCTTCATTTCCATTTATTTTACACCTTTCTTCTTCTTTACATCTTGTCTGTTTGTCTTACTTTTTCTTCTTTTTCTTCAGACTCTGGTCCATCTTTATCTCGACTTCCTCTCCTTTTTCTTTCTACCTTTCATTCCTCCCTTTCTCTGTCATTCTTTTTTATTTTGGCTTCTCGCGCTCTCTGTTTCTGTCAGTCTTATTTTCTGTCCATCTTTTTCCCTCCTGTCTTTCAGTCTGTCCATCTATTTTCTGTCTTTCTTTTTCATCCTCTTTCATTCTTCCTCTCTCTCTCTTTCTTTCTTTCTTTCTTTCTTTCTTCCTCTCTTTCTTCCTTTCTTTATCTCTCTCTTTCTTCCTCTCTCTCTCTCTCTTTCTTCCTCTCTCTCTTCTTTCTTTCTCTCTCTCTCTTTCTTTCTCTCTCGCTCTTTCTCTTACTTTATTTCTTTCTTTCAGTTTTTTCTTTCTTTCTCTCTCTCTCTTTCTTTCTCTCTCTCTCTTTCTCTTACTTTATTTCTTTCTTTCAGTTTTTTCTTTCTTTCTCTCTCTCTCTTTCTTTCTCTCTCTCTCTTTCTCTTACTTTATTTCTTTCTTTCAGTTTTTTCTTTCTTTCTTCCTCTCTTTCTTACTTTCTTTCTCTCTATTTCGTTCTTCCTCTCTCTTTCTTTCTTTCTTTCTTCCTCTCTCTTTCTTACTTTCTTTCTCTTTCTTTCTTTCTTCCTCTCTCTTTCTTACTTTCTTTCTCTCTATTTCTTTCTTCCTCTCTCTTTCTTTCTTTCTTTCTTCCTCTCTCTTTCTTACTTTCTTTCTCTTTCTTTCTTTCTCTCTCTCTCTCTTTCTTTCTTTCAGTTCTCTCTTTCTTTCTCTCTTTCTTTCTTTCAGTCTCTCTTTCTGCTATAAACAAACTCGCTCTCTGCCTGGATTTGAATGAGGGGAGGACTTAGGCAAATATCAGATTTGACCTTTGTGTGTGTGTGTGTGTGTGTGTGTGTGTGTGTGTGTGTGTGTGTGTGTGTGTGTGTGTGTGTGTGTTGTTTCCAGTCATTGATGTTGAAATAAGAAAATATTGAGCAGAGGGAGTTTCCCTCTCTCTGGCTGCTGCTCTGATTACTTCTACTGCTGCTGCTTTTTATTTTTTTATTTTGTTGGACTTTTCATTTTTTTCAGTTTTCACCTCATCATTTGATAGTTAGTTGATCTTTTCTAAGCATCACAAGCTGTGTCCTAATCGGCCGTTTAACACACAGGCCGCATTGTGCACATGTTTAAAAACTCCAGGAATCAAGAGGAGGAAACAGAGGACAAATTGTTGTATCAGACCTCCTGTTGCCAAGAGGAAACAACTCTTGGACGGGGCTAAAAAGAGGAGAACCTAATAGGCAGTAATGCAATAAAACCCCAAAGCCCATGCAGTGGTAGTTAATCTCCTAAATCCCCCCATTAAATCTTTGGCATTGGTTGGCTGTAGGGAAAGGCAGGAGGACAACATGTGGATGCTCAGCGCTCCACTACGGGGGCTAATCAATAAAAAAAAAAAAAACTGCTCTCAATCTGCGGGGGCACACATGTCCCGCGTCTGAGATTAACTCTCCCAGACCGGCTTAATCCCTCAATGCCCAATCTGGGGCGGTTTCCTTTTGGGGGCCAGACGGCTTCAACAAGTCCCAAAACTCCATCAGAGAGAAACGCTCTCAGCTTGTTTCAGAGATGTTGACCGTCACCTTCTGAACAAAAACACTCTGCATGTTTGTTTGTTTTTTATTAACCCTTGAGGCTTAAAAAAACGTGTTTGAAACAACTCCACATGCTCAGAACGCTAAAAAAAAAGACAATCAAATGTGACTTTTGAACATTATTTCAGCCTCCTTTTTGTTAGGAGGATTGTCGATAAGTTTATAAGGTTAAAATTCTCCTTGATTCTCCTTTTTTTTAAAACTCAACTTTAAACCGCTCCCACGCACAGCAGATCTATTGAACAGGTTCTATAATGTGAGAAAACTCTTCTTTTCTTTTTCTAATGCCTGTGCACATAAATGTGGGTCGGACATTCTTCAGGACCTCCGGGGAGCTGCATTAAGTTGATAAGAAGCGTAAAATATGTGACCTTCGCTCCGAAAAGTTTGCAGAGACAATAAATATGTCAGGGTGAATTTTGGGGAAATGAGCAATGTGGTCCGTAAGAAATTTGGGCTGTGACACACTTCCTGCATGGTGACTGTGTCTCTTAACTTTGGATTCAGAGTAAAGGACCTTTAACGTTTTTATGTTGCGTAATCACTTAAATGACCAGAAGCCTTTTTCTTTTCTTTTCTTTTCTTTTCTTTTCTTTTCTTTTTATTGCCTCCCAATTTGAGGAGAGCACGGAGGACAATGAGAGGGCTGCACTTTTGTGTTTTTACATCTGATGTGGTCGTTAAAGGCTTCAAATTAAAGGTCATAGTCAGCCGTGCAGCTTCTGTTGTATTTTAAAATACGATGTGCTGAAAACTTCTTCATGTCCAGTGACGTAGAATACTTCAATCTTGATTTATTTCCCTGTTTATGTATTTAAGAGGGGGGAATGTTGAACTACATATCGTATAAAATGTTAGAAAACAGTGACACATGACCCTTGAGTCCAGTGTTTTGTCTTTACATTGATTGCCTTGTGTGTCCAAAAAACTAAAAATATTCAATAAAAAGCAGCAGACTGTCACGTTTAAGAAGCAGGAATCAGCAACTGTTTGAAAGTTTTTTTCAGATTTCCATACTCATTCTTGCTTCTAAGTTAAACTCAGCTCGAATCAGCTACACAAGTCGATGCTTTTTTATATGTTGTTCTACATCTACTAATCTAGAGAGTGTAGGACGACACAGTTTTAGTTGTATTCTAAATGCAAAGTGCTGGAGCACTGAGCTGACACAAAACAAAGACTTTTTAAGTGTCAAATGAATCAGAAAAATACATTTTTTTTGGATGTGATTTAACAGATTTTTCAACATTTGTTGCATTTTCTGCAAAATGATTCTATCATGAAGTGTGATGAAGTTCTTAAGAGTCCCAACTAACGGTGCAAAAAGCTTTAAATATTCCATTAAAAGTGAAATTAAGCTGCAAAAGATCACACTTTAAAACCTGGAACCATTACATTTTCTGCTGTTTTTTTTACAGATTTCCAAACTGATCAAGTCACTTATTGCTTCTACATTCATGATGAAGTTCTTAAGAGTCCAACTAATGGTGCATAAAGCTTTAAATATTCCATTAAAAATGAAATTAAGCTGCAAAAGATCACACTTTAAAACCTGGAACCATTACATTTTCTGCAGTTTTTTTAAACAGATTTCCACAGCTTGATCAAAGTGTTAATTATGTGGTTTTATACTTTACTCCATCTTTGAATTGTTTTACTGACATGTTGGAATAAGTAGATTCTGAACATACATTTGAGAAATGAAGAATAAACGAGAGCAGCCTCTGGAGGGGAACTCCTCCCTGCACTATTTGAAACGGGGCGTTGGAGAACTCTTTAATGAGATTTAACGAGCGCATGCTGACGACGGCGATGTGTCGGTGCTGCTGCTGCTGCAGACCGTGGGCCACTTAGGAGAGAAAACGCTGAGGAGAGAGGGGCGAGCGAGCAGGGGAGCGTCATGTGAGCCAAATTAGCTCAGCTTGTTGTTTACGCAATGGATGTTTGCCGGAGCCACTGTGGGATGTCAGGGGTCTGAGTGTGTGTGTGTGTGTGTGTGTGTGTGTGTGTGGAGGTGGGAGGGGGCACACACA